CTGATGTAATGCGTAGGAGACGGACATTGATGACGACGATCTGTCAAAACATGGTTCAGCCAATGTCAACGTCGGCGTTCACGACCCTCCGAGACGCCCAAGGAGTACCCGTAGCGTTCTGTTCTCGACTACGTAGTAGAACTGTCTGTCTGGCGCAGATCGGAATGCTTCCAGGGCCCTTCATCGCCCAGGTAACGGAACGGGAACGCGTTATTCGGCGCCCTCGTCGTGCCGCGCAAGCGTGATTCCCACCTTCGTTGCCGATATTACGAGGCCACCAGTAACCAGTTCGCCGTCGGTATCATGACATGTCATTCGTTTTCGTTCGTGCGTGCGTGCGTGCGTGCGTCGAGTGGTTATTGGATCAGTCGTTGGTTTGCATCCTGTCGCGTTCCCACCGCCCATGGCCCGAGGCTTAGAAGCCGCGTGAGATGGGAGGGGGGAGAAAGCCGTGTAGAGCAAAGACCAGGCTGCTATCTAGGTGGTGTAAATGAACTGTTCTCCCGAGTAGGGATGCTCGCATTGGAAGCCTCATCGAGTCATCATTCCCAGGGAGGGCTCTTGTCGTCGCTGGGGTGCCCCAACCAGAAGAACTCCACGTGGAATAAATAGCGCGCAACAGGCACATGGTCTGTATCCGCACACAGTCCACGTGCAACATGTTTGATGGATACTTGACTGGTCAAATGATTGGTGACTCAATTCGAATTATCGCCTTTCTCCCCCCCGGTCACTCCTGGTTTTGATCAAATGACAATGATGGATGGGTTCTGTCAGAATTTGTGCGAGGTTGGACGCGGAGCGACGGGAGCGGACCGGCCTGGGGAATCAGGACGGACACCGGCAGGGGTTCCATTAAGGGTGCCGCCGCGTGCGACGACTGGACAGGGGTCGTCTCGGGCTCGGTCTCTGTTTTGTTTCTTTTTTTACGAGAAACATATCTTCTTCGCCTCGTTCTTCGGAGAAAGCTTATTGCTGTTGGTTGCTTTTGTCTGTCGACCCTTGGTTCGTACAAGTGAGGGACTAGGTATGTTTTGGTTCAACACAGCGGCCGGCCCATGGTACGCCGCGAGCGGTTTGATTCGGGCTGGCCCGCCGTCTTTGGAAGTGCCCCCCTGCAGCCGGTAGGATGGTGCGTTCCGAAGGCCCTTGAGGGAGGGGGGGGAAGCTGATACCAGGTCCTCAACCAGCCCGGGTTGGCCCTGTCGACCGGGAAGAAAACGATGGCGTGGCGTCGGAGGTGGTGATAGGGGAACTTGTCTACATGTTGCAGTTTCGCGTCGGTCACCCAGTGCGAAGGAAGATATTACCAGACAGACATGGTGTGGGGGGGCCCTTGTCAATGTCCTTCCCGACAATCTGGTTGCATGTTTGTTTGGGTTCCAGGCAGGGCCTGCATCACAACTGTCAAAGCCCCGAGAAGCTCGGACTTGGCCATCGAGTACCTCGAAACGATGTCAGCCGGAAGTTTCAGAGGAAGAAAAGGGGGGGGGGGGGGGGGTTGAAGATGCGGGTATACTACTATGTACTATACGTTACTTCCCCTCCTGGGCGGGCTGCTAGTACATACCTAGTATTTATACCGCTGTGCTGTGACGTGCCGTGCCATGCTGTGCGACTAGACCTAGGTACAGGTACAGTCACTTGACAAAAGTCTGGGCTCAACCACTACGCTCCCACTGGCGGAGTGAGCCCAGACTTCTGTCATGTGACTGTGTGTATGTCGCTGTTCGCATCGGACGAACCTACAACAAACACTAGCATCGTCAGCCATCCATCGGCCAACGACATATTGTCGGGCATTCCAACGACCACAGCTAGTGTATAGGTCCGACTTTGACCATGTACGGATACCAGACGAGCACAACACGTTTGTGCTAATTTAGTACTGCCGGCGGCCGGCAGTTGACGGCGGAATCCACCAACAAGGCCTACCTGTACCTGATCCCAAATGGCGGAAATGATACCGGTCCAATGAGAGGTGGCCGTCTCGCCGGGTCAACAACCGACTGGACTTGCTCCGACTTGTTTCCAGTTTGCCAGCTCCGCCTCAACAGCCAAACAATGCAACCGGCACTAGAACGAGGGTCATCAGAGGAGTTGTAGGCTTCGACTCTCATCGTATATGTGACGGGGAGCCGCAGGATCGAGAGCGGGTCGTGGTTGCATTGGCCTGTCGAACCGAAGTTGCAGTAATGACGGGATCGTCTCACTCCGTGTTGCGTGTAGACGAAGACGTGTTGGGAGCAAACGTGAGCCCCCATTGTCAACTCATGGCATAGATAGAGCCTTTCATGTCTAAGCGATGCTCAATGCAGTGTGCTCGCTTGACTTTGCCCACAACTGGGTAGTGACGGGGTTCGGCACCGCAGGGGGGATGGGCATTCCGCCGACCGGATCGACGCCGAGTCGCCGTCCACAGAGCTTCTTCGGGCAGACGAGTCATATCCAGCTCCCTGCTGATCGCCGATGTACAACCGGCTTGCTTGCCTAACTTGCTGCTGCTCCTCTCCTCATATCCGATGCGAGTCCCCTCTATACACTACTAGCAAGCCCCCCCCCCCTCTGCGTCACCCCAGACCGTCGGTCCTGCTCCCCTCAATAGGAAAACAAGACCGCCCCTTGTCCGGCATGAGCATTGTGTGCATCGATTGTTCGGGTGTCTGGCAGTTCTCCTCACCACAACTTGCATCGTCTTATGTCCGGAAAACCAAAGTGTAGACTGACAAGTGACAGGAGAGAGAAAGACGCCCTGCCGAGCCACGCAAACACCATGGACCCGGTTAGAGTTTCGGGTAACCCACTGGTCCACGTCGAGGGTTCCGGTGAGTACTGACTCGGGGGCGGGTTCTCGGATACCCATCCGAGTTTGATAGCCCGGACACGGAATCAGTATCCAATGTGGTTGCTTGAAGGAAAACCCCGGAGAACGACGCCGACCAAGTCGAAGGGCAGAGGCGCAGCATACGGTCCCGGATCTCGCATCCATGTCATTGAACCTCCCTCTGCATGGTGTCCGAGTAGTAGACGATTGCACGATGGAAACGACGAATGGCATTTGCCTTCGGCTGTCCTCCCGAGGACACGAGTAACCAGACTGCCGTTGCAAACCGGGAACGCGATTCAGCAGCCGCTGACTAACTCACCGACAAAATGCTGAAGGAAACCCACCTTCCCGAGGTCGAACGGGGACTTTACGACTTCGTATGTGAGAATTCTCGAGTCGCGGGCGAAGTTTGTCGTGAGATATACAGACACCATGCCATTTCCAAAGTCGGCCTACCCCCGCCCCCTCCCTAGCTTCCGTCAGGCAGTACCGAGAGGCTATTTTCGAGGTCTTCGTAGCGCTGCCGGTACACCCCCCCCCACACTGCCCGGTCGTTCTGGTTTGACATTTGAGCGAGGGGGAGCTTCGTGGCGGCGATTCAAGTCTCGTTTGTAAACACCCCACCAGCGCAGCTTTGCGGTCGAGCCATGGTTGGGACCCAACATATATGCGGACCGAAGCGCATGCGTGGGAGGGTTGCGTTGCGGTTGGCATCCGCACTCGTCGTTTGACCGGGCCATATATTCCAAGCCAAACATGAAAAGTCGTGAGTGATAATGCGACGGTGCTTCTATCCGAGGCAGTCGAGACTTTGCGTCACGGATGGATCAAATAATGCCAGATATCAAGAAACGGCCTTATCGAAACGATCACAAGTCCACCCAAAAGCTTTCATCACAAGAGATATTGAGTACTGCTACTCGGTCATTATTTGCAAAAAGAGAAGGCCCCTCGTTTTAGTCACGCCATGCATCTTGAGCACGTGTCTATTTCCATTAGTTAGTAGGAGAGAGGAGGTGGGCACCAACCTACTCGTATGAGGCCGTTCGTAACTAGAGAAGTAGAATGCACCCCAGTTCTATTGCCCGACTTCCGAGCACACCCCGGTGTTTTCTTCTCGTTCCCTTTTCTCGTCAATCAACAGTTCTTCATGGAACATCTTTGCGCTGCTGCGGTCCAAGTTGGTGTGGTCGAAGGGCGGAGGAGCACTTCCATCAAGTCCGCACCCGCCCGACGGAGCACCCGCAATCTTGCATCCCGGCGTCGTTTTCGTGGTTAGAGAACTCGGTGTCTGGCTACTCGTACGAAGCCCAAGAGCCTCCTAGAAACCGTCGGCGTTCCCTTCCACTGGTCGCCATTCAATGTGCTCGTCAAGCTTGATGTTGTCCAGACGGACCCAGTAGGCTTGGTGGTTCTCTCACCACAACAGTCATCAGTCTCCTCCTTAACGGCGTGATTTCCACGAGGCTCCAAGTCGCGGGATCCTCTGTTGGCCTGCGTGAGAGGTATACAGATATTTGTTCGCCCCAAGCCCCCTTCGCCTTGGATGTCGACCCTACGGCAGGGCACCTGCCAGAAGTCGCGTTATAAAGTGAAGTGTAAGCCCACCAATAGCGTATATCAGACTGTCGATTATCAAAGTCACGAAAGTGGAGGTACACTCGCTTAGAGATGGATTTAGGGAAAAGGAATCGCCCCAGACGAATCGACAACACAAGACGATGGAGACGAGTCCAAATACCTTACTGGAGCGTAGCTGGGAGGCTCGTTCTCCTCTCCCTGTGCCTTTCCGTCTTCCTCGTTACCCCGGACCAAACCATCATTGCCCCGGCTCTATGGGCCATCTATCACAAGCAAGTTCGCTTCCATCAGGGACTTCTATGTTAACCTGACTACCAACTCGTCAGCGTTGAATTTCCAAGTCATGCAGGGGTCTGGGTACGGAGAAGGGAAACCGGTCACTCAGGGGACAGAAAAAGACCGTCCGGTTTCCTATGACCACCCCTACTACCACTACTACTCCCACAGCTGCTACAGTGGGTAATACCGCTTTCAAGTACACCAAGGAAAGGGTGCGTTTATAAGGTGCTCATGGATTTATTGATACCAAGTGTTGTTTATCAAATATGTGAGAAAAAGGACCGCTTTGCCTATTTTCAGGTATCTCAAAGGCATGGAGGGCAACGAGGTAGTTTCCCGAGAACGGACGGTCTTTTTCTTGTCCCCGAGTGCCGCTTCCCCGTTGGTAGCGTCTCAATCTACTCCCGAACCCTATACCCGTCGTCAATGACTCGATCGCCAGCGGTACCCTGATCACAGTGTTCGGGTCCTACAGCCCCGTGGTCTTGGTGGAGACGACCATACTCAATCCTCGAGGCGGGGGGGCACTATCTTCGGTGCGGTGGCTGGCGCAGGCGGCATTTCAGAACGGCATCTTTGATAACGTCGCCCGGGAGGCGCCGGGCGTCGACACTCGTGTCATCGTCAACAGCGGCGCCTCGCAGATCCCGGCCGGCATGGGCCGCGGTGACGCGGTAGGTGCCGTCTTGCGCGTTCACACGCTGGGCTGGCGTAATATGTACTACTGGTTGCCAAGTAGATAATGCAAAAGGTATTTCTACGGCTAGAATCAGACAACCAGGAGCAGCGCTCCCTCTACTAGGCGCATAGTGGTGCGTGGTTAATTTAGATAGATACAGCCCCCCCGGTATGGGACTGGCTGAGTCAGACCTGCTAGTACTTGATGGGATTGAGCTCTGGCTGATACTGTAGTAGGGGTGTGACCCTTCAGGTGCCGGACCTGCCGGCCACTCGTTAGATCACCCGTCAAACGATTCAATGACTAGACAAGCTAATATCGCCCCCCTTGTTAAGCAGATAGCACCCAGCTTTCTTGCACTGGTCTGTGTCAGGGCCAGTGGTTAGGGTGGGTTAGGGATCTTGGTTCGGATTCGGGAATCGTTGGTTCGAGTTGTGGAATACGGACGGTACAGTCTGTTGCGTTGGCAGCGTCCAAAACCTATTTTTTAGTCCGTGCGTTAGAAACACCATCATAACCACCCTAGTTAGGGTCACGCAGGGGGGTTACCCTGCTAGGTAGCCACTTACTTATAGATTTATAGATTTTTATATAGATACTATAGTATAAATAGCCTTAATTAATAAGCTTATTACTGTTATTATTACTACTATTATTAAATAATAGCGCTAAAGAAGGGGGTTACTACCCCTAGTAGTAAAGAGATATTACTAGTGCTACTAGCTAATAGTACTTAAGCCTATAAGGCTGCCTATAAAGGATTATTACGTATAGTAATTAAGTGCCCTATAGTAATAGCACTAGCACTAGTAGTAAAGTTAATAAAATTAATAATAATTATTAAGACACTAAAAAAATTAGTAGTAACTATAGTAGTAGTAAAAAAGTTAGTAGTAGTAAAGAAGTTAGTAGTAGTTATAGTAGTAGTAAAGAAGTTAATAATAACTATTAAAACGCTATAAAAGTTACTAGTAACTTAAGTAACTATTAATAATAAAAAAAAAGTTAGTAATAGTATTAATAATAATAGTAATAAGCCTACTTATAATAATAAAAAGCTTATATAATAAATACTATTTATACTAAATTTATTTAATACCTTATTATAAACTTTATTACTATTACTATAGTAATAGTAGGTAGCTATTATAATAGCTACTTTACTACTAACTAATATAATAATATACTTTACCTTTAACCTCTAATTTAATAGCGTTAAATCTATACTATAAGTCTAGCCTTTTTAGATAGTATAGTAATTAATAAGTTAGTTAATAGTAAGTATAATAATTAAGTTAAGGTAGGAGAAGTAAATCTTAAAGGATATAAAGAATTACTTTTAAAAGTAACTTACTAAGTAATACTAGCTTTTAAAGTTATAAATAATAGTAAAGTTTAGTAAAAAGCGTTATACTATATAAGGGGTTAATAATATTTACTATAGTAATAACTTTAGTAAAGTAGATAGGAAATAGCTAACCTTACTATAGTCTAAATTTAGCTAATAACTAAGTAACCTTAGCTATAAGACTTAAAAAATCTTCTTTAGTATAAATCTTATATACTTTACTAGTTTAGTTATATTAGTATTTAGTATACTATAATCTGCTATAAAGTTAAAAAGCAGGTAACCTAACTATAGTAAGTAACCTAACTATAGTAAGCTAATTAACTATAGTAAGCTAATTAACTATAGTAAGTAACTAGATTATAGTAGCTAACTATTATATATTAATTTAAAAAAAATAGTAATAAATTTAATAAGAGATAAAATTAACTAAGAGAGGGATATAAAAAAGGATTTATAGTATAATCTAATAAAGTATTATAAGTATATAGATTATATAAGTTACTATAATAACATAAGGGTAAGTAATAGTACTAACTAGTGTTTAGTTATTACTAAAGTCTACTATAAGTTACTTACTTATAATCTTAAAGCCTAGTAAGATATAATACTTTATTATAAAGTAAATATAACTTTAAAAGATTTACTACTAGGCCTTATAGTTATAGTTACCTAGTAGCTAGTAAAAAAAGATAATATACCTATATAAGGTAAAGTTATAAGTAATTTACCCTCTATAGTAGGATTTAAAGGAGGTAAAAATCCTACTAGTAGGCCTTCTCTACTAACTATAAATAACTTTACTAGTAATATAGTAGTTAATTTATTCTTTAGTAGTAAAGAAGTTAGCCCTTTTATATAGTAGTAGTATTAATTACCTCTATAATAGTAGCTATCTCTAATCTAATAGTATTATTATATACTTATTACTTTATTAATTAACTTATTACTAGTGTATTTAGTAAGAGAGACTAAAGTACTATTATTATTACCCTTATAACCTAGAGAGTAGTTACTTATAGCGTAGTTACTAGAGGTATAAGATTTTATAAGCTAGTTTCTTAAAGTTAAAAAGTAATAATAGGGCTATAAAGGCAGTACTAACGTAGCCCTTTAATAACTATAGAGCTCTTTATTAAGCCTAGTAGTTATTTAGTATATACTAAAAGAGTAGTATAAAGAAAAAGGTATACCTAAATCCCTTATTAGCACTATATAAAGGTTAATAAAGACTTTCTTACTTATATAGTAGTACTATAAGTATAGTAGATATAACTTTACTAGCTCTAACTAATAGTATAAATTACTATATATTACTAGTAAAGTTAATAAAGTTAATAAGGTTAATAAGCAGCCTATTATAAATACTATAACTAATAAGATAAGTAACCTTAAGAAAAGTAGATTTAGTTAGTTAAATTAAATCTAGTAGTTATAACTATACTAACCTCTAGGTAGTAAATAGTCTTTTTATCTCCTCCCCTATATAACTAGGTGATTTATCCTTACTAATTATTTATATAAGTTAACGCCTTTTTAACTTTATAATATATAATAAGCTAAATAACTTTAGCCTTAATAAGTTATATAGTAGTAAAGCTAATAACCTAATATATATAGCTAATAATAAGTTATTAATAGATTTATATAAAAGTAATAAAGATAAAAAGTAATATAATAAGGCTAATAAAAAGTAAGGCAGTAAAAGTAAATAAGTAGTTACTATAGTTAGATTTCTTTACTATCTATTAATAGTTATTTTTTTTTATTACTACTTTAATAATAGCACTTTCTTTACTAGTTATAAAGGCACTTTTAATATTACTACTATCTTTATTAATTAATATATTATTAAATAACCCTTATATACTATTAAAGTTAATAAATAAGTAATAAAAATAGCTTTCTATTTATTTTATACTATAACTAACCTCTACTATATAATTATAAAGCAGCTTATTAAAGTTATATAAATCCTTTTTATCTCTATTTTATCCTAGGTACTACTTATAAAGGAGCTTCTTAAGGTTACTAAATACCTCCTTAATAAGGTTAAAGTTAGGTAAGTATAGTAGTAGATATAATAGTTATATACTAGCTAAATTATATACCTCTTAAATATCTTATTAGTAGTAAAAGCTAGTATTATTTATAATAATAACTAACTTTATAGTAAGAAAAGCACTATACTTAGGTAAAACCTTATCTTAAATCTATACTATAAACCTATTACTATTTATTATACTTAGGTATATTAATATATTAAAGATACTATTTATAGTAAGGGTAGAAAGGATTTAGTATTACTACTTACGTTTAAGCTTATCCTTTTAATATAGTAATAGTCCTTTTAGCACCTAACTTATCCTCTATATATCTATATATTTATTAACACCTAACTTATTAATAAATACTAATTACTTTAAGTAGTATCTATAAATAGTATATATCTAGTTATACTATAGTACTTTATCCCTTTAGGTAGTAATAATATAGATAGACTTTAACGTCTACCTAGCTATATAAAGCTACTAACTAATTATTAACTTATAAACCTCTATATTAAATTACTTATAAAAAAAATCTTATATTTCTTTAAGGCTAAGGTTATTATAGTAAATAAAAAGCTTTAATAACTTATATAGTTACTATACTTCTAACTTTATTTAGCTTTACTAACTAGTAAGATAAATTACTACTTAGCTAGTTATTTTATAATAATAACGCTATTACTAGACTATATAGGTAGTATAGCCTAGCTACTTAGTAATCTCTTTATTTATTTTCTTAAATAACTTAAGGATCTATATTATTTTCTTTTACTTATCCTTATTTAACTTTAGCGCTATTATATTTATTTAATATAGTATTTATTTAGTAAGGGATAGTAGTAGTAAGTAATAGTAATAAGGTTATTATAGACTTTACTTTTTTTATATATATATTACTCTTATAACTTTATTAACTTAGCCTCCTATTTAAAAGGCGTACTCTTATAGACTATTATAATAAGAGATAAACCTATCTATAAGGTAAGTGTTAAAAAGATAATTAGATATATAGCTAATAAGTAGCTTTATATAGGTCTAAATCCCCTTATTATTATTATTATTACTAGTATATATAACTTTAAGTTATTATAACTATCTAATATTAGGTAATATTAATTTTAGATCTTGTTAGCTAAAAAACCTAAATTTATATAGGGTTATATTTGTGTGGCGCAGGTGCACGGACTGAAAAATAGGTTTTGGACGCTGCCAACGCAACAGACTGTATTGTCCTGGGCCGGTCCTGTTGGTCGGTTGATTGACACGGCGTTTCATTGATACATCCTTTCTACCCTGCTGTCTGCCAGTTTTGTCGGGATAACGTCTGGTATGTTCTGCCGATATCTCTGGAATTCCAGTCTGTCTACCTGCTTGATTTCCTCTTGGCTCCCTGCTCGGGAGTCAGGGCTGCCATGTCGCCTCCGCCGAGCTCGGTCTTCATCCACTACACAAGGAAAAAATAAATGATTTTATCAGCCGATGCTCTTTGACACGAGAAACTTGAAAAAGGGGGGGGGTGGTGAACATACGTCGGGGCAGAGAGCCATGAAGGAGAAGCCCTCCTTGCCGTGGTCGAGGGCATACTGAACCGTGAGGGCGTTCATGGCGGCCTTGGAGATCTTGTAGGCCGGGCAGGGGGAGAAGGGGAGGTAGGGTATCATGGTGAGAGAACCGAAGGTGGTTGAACTGTGTGCAAGCGATCTCCGAGGTCAGAAAACGAAGGGAAAGTTGCGCCGGGGACTCTCTGGTTTGATGACGTACATGTTGGCCACCTTCTTGAGCTTGCCCTGCTGTAGCAGAGGAAGAAAGGCCCTTGTGACTCTGTGGACACCCAAAACATTGATGTCGAAGCTCTCCTGGAGGGTTTCCCTATGGGACCGGTGTGTTAGTCAAGAAACCATTTGCGTGGGTGGAAATGGTGTGTGTATGATGGAAAGGATCTTGGGAAATGGGAGATGAGCGAGTGAGTGGTGAATGAGCCAGTAAGTGACTACTTCAGTCCGTCATATCCGGTAACCCTTTCATTACATAGTCGAATCCTCTGCATCCCGCAACCCGTCAACAAAAGTTGCTTGGTCACACTTGATGCAGGAAAAGATCGCACAGGACACGGCCATGGCTACATTCTGAACCGTCACCGCAGCCATTCGGCCACCGCCCGTCCGAATCTTCAGTTCTACCTATGGAAGTCTACTTTCAACATCCACACCCATCCTTCCATCAAATCCTCGCTCTCCAGAGGAATCATCCCTTCTCAACTCACCTTCAACTGCTTGGGAATGAAACGTTAAAAATCGACATGACCAGCAGGACTCTCAAGTGCCCAAATATCCGAACAAATAGAGAAGAACAGAACAAGCCCCCCCCCAATGCAAAAATACCCCTAAATTACCTACCCTTCACGCATTTGAAGACTGTGCTAACGCTCCATCGGTGATGTCGGCAGCCCGCTTACTGATGCCCACGGCCGGGTCGAGCAGGTCCAGCATGCTGATGTTGGCCCCGAGCGCCTGCAGGAACCAGTTGCGCAGCTCGGCCGCAATCAGACTGTCGACGCCCAGGTCCGCAACCGACTTGGCCGGGTCGATGCTCTCGACGTCAACAAACAGCATCTCGGCGACCGCCTTGACGATGGCGCCCTGCACGAGAGCCACGGTGGAGGACCGCCCGGCCGCCCCCTGCCCGACGGCCGCCGCGAACTCTGCCCGCAAGAGCGCCGTGGTGTTGAGCGACGCTTCGCCGGGGGGACCGTCGAGATGCTCAGAGAGCTGCTGGGCGTCCCGCGAGGCGCGCATCATCAGCGAGGCGCGCGCGTCGCCGTACCAGCGCGGAGCCACGCCGGTCGAGGAAGCCTCCTCGCGCCTCCTCTTGGACACGGCTTGGGGGTTCAGGTAAGTGTGCAGGTTCGCGCTCGAGAGAGGGTCCTGCTGCCGGCCGGGCCACTGCGTCGGGTCCGCCGCGTCGTGCGAGGTCCGGTTGTCCAGGAACGCCGGCTCGAGGAGCTTCAGGAACTGGGACTCGCCCAGCGTCGTCGCCCTGTTGCGCTCGAACAGGTCGATTGTCGTCGTGTCGCTGCCCACGGCTGTGGCTTCTCTGATGAGGCTGAAGGACACGGTCGACGCGGGGAGGCCCAGCCGTCGACGGTAGCGCGCGAAGGCGTCCTGGAAGCCGTTGGCCGCCGTGTACGCGCCCTGGGTCGCGAACGCGTAGAGGGAGAGCGCCGAGGTGGTCATGACGAAGAAGTCGAGGGCCATGGACAGCGTGGCCTCGTGCAGGTTCTTGGTGCCCCGGACCTTGGCCGACAGGCCCTCGTTCCACCTCGGGGCTTGAATCTTGTCGAAGCTGAGATCCAGGTACGAGACGGCGGCGTGCACGACGCCCCTGACGGGCCGGCGCGACGAGATGCGCTGCATGACATCGGCCACCTCTGCCTTCTTGCTGACGTCGCAGGCAAAGCACTCCACTTGGACATGGCGGTCGGCGAGCGACGAGACGAGCTCCTTGGCTCCGGGAACGTCCGAGGCTGCGCGGCGAGAGAGGAGCGCCAGGTGCCTCGCGCCCTGGTCGGCCATCCACCGGACCAAGGACTGCCCCACGCCGCCCAGCGCTCCGGTGACGACGTAGCAAGCCTCCGGGTCGAACCTGGCGGCCGGGGCCGGCGTGGCCATCCTGACGAGGCTCTCGGGGTTTTGGAAGCTGGCGACGAGCTTTCCCGGCGTGTTGTTGTTGGCCACGTCGCGCACCGCCGAAGACAAGCGACCGACGTCGACCGTGGCGAGCCCCGGGAGAGGCCCGATGAGTCCTTTGCGGTGGTAGTCGCCCACGCTCTCCATGAGCTCTGCGCCGAGAGCCGGGTCCGCGTCGAGAATGGCAAACGCGTCGATCGAGGAGTAGGTTGCCATGGGCGGAAGCAACTCCAGACTCACCCAGGGTCCTGTCTGCGAGTCGCCCCCCCGGCCCCCGACGTCTATGAGTCGTCCCAGGGGCGCCAGGACCTCCAACAGTGCGGACGGGAGGCCGCCGCCGCCGGAGCCGGAAGCGCAGATGACGGCGTCAAACCCGCCTCTGCGTGTGTTTTGCGCGGCCTGCCGGAGGCGGTCCAAGCTGTGCCCCTCGATGACGTGCGAAGCCGGGACGACCAGGTTGTCGACGAGAAAGCTGACCTGTTCGGCCGTCTCGGCGGTGACACACACGTCGGCCCCCTTGGTCCTCGCCAGGATGATGGATGCGGTCGCCACGTCCCCGGCGCCCGCCTGGACGAGCACCGACTGCCCCTGTCGCAGATGGGCGACGTGGTCCAGGGCGTACACCGCCGTCGCGTACGCCAGGGGCATCGATGCTGCCTCCGTCGTGTCGACTTCCGGGGCGAGCTTGCAGGCGAAAGCGGCAGGGACGCGTGTGTAGTTGCCAAACTGCCCCTTGCCGAGACCGTAGACGCGGTCGCCGACCCGGAAATCGTGCGATGATGATCCTGCGCCCACGGAGGCGACGACGCCCGCGTACTCGGAAGAGAAGTGGTCTCCGTCCAGGCGGCCCGTCCATACGTCCAAGTCCCTGCTGTTCACGCCGACGGCCTCGACGGCCACGTCAATGTACCCTGGAGGGAGCGGCCGGTGAAGCTCCTTGTAGGGTGTGAAGTACAGCGAGCTGGGCACCCCGGGCGTCTCGAACGCGATGCGGACGCCTCCGTCGTGAGTGGCGAGCGGGAGCAGCTCCGGCTTCAGCTTGCGGCCGTCGAGGCCGTATTGCGAGTGGAATCCCCCGTCGGGCACGTGGCGGCTCACCCACAAGCAGCCGTCTTGCCAGGTGAACTCGCGATCCGGGCCCGTCTCTCCGTCGTCCACCGCGGGGGACCCGTGGTCGAGGTCGGCCTCGAGATGGGCGATCTGGCGGGCGAGCTCTTCTGCTTCGGTCGCTTCCATGTCAAAGTTGTCCGCGTCCACGTCGATCGACACGTACCGGCTCGCAGGGTTCTCGTTCTGGAGGACGCGCAGCAGGCCGGGAAGTAAGGCACCGTCCGCGTTGCGCCCCCTGGCGGCGCCGCAGCTCGTGAGAACGAGCATGCTCGAGGCGTTCCGCGAGAGGTGCTGGAAAACGCGCAAGTCCTGCTCGCTGGCGTCGACCAAGAGATGCTTGTCGTCGCACAGGGCCACCACGCGGGATCCCGGCGTGACGGAGCCGGGAGCGGTGTCGAGCGGACCGGTCCTCACCTCGAAGCCTTGACGCTCCAGCTCTTGGGCGATGTGCCGCACCAACGACGGAGCCGACCCATCCCCATTGCCGTCGCCGCTGCGAAGCAGGTGAACCATAGCAGATGGAGGAGGTGCCCTCGTCGGAGGTTCTGCCAGGACTGTAGAAACCATGACCGAAGTGGTGTTGTGCGGCTCCGGGAAGTCGTCCAGCACCAGGTCGAGCCCCGAGAATCCGGCGTCCCGCAACGAAGAGTCCCAGGCGGGCAAGCCTTGGAACGGAGCATCCACGCGGCCGTCGGGGATCCCGGCCCAGTAGCCCGTGAAAGTGCCCACGACGATGCCAGGCACGATGAAGTTCTGGTTCGTCTCCACCAGCACGAGCTTGCCGCCCGGCTTGAGAAGGCTGCGGCAGTGCGACAAGGTCCTGTGCATGCTGGATGTGGCATGGAGGACCTGGCACGCGATGACGAGGTCGTAGGCCTGCTCGTCGTACCCTTGCTCCAGGGGGTCCGTCTCGACGTCCAGCACCGAAAAGTGCATGTCGCGAAACTCGGCCATGGACTCCCGCGCCGCCGAGAGGAACCCGGCAGAGATGTCGGTGAAGGTGTAGTCTCTGTAGGCCTTGACGCCGTTGCGGCCGGTGAAGGCCCTCATGGCGATGCGCGTCGCGCCGCCGGTGCCGCCTCCGATCTCCAAGACGCGCGAGTTCGGGTTCGCGTGGGCGAGGCCCTCCAGGACGTGCGACAGCTGGGGGTAGATGCCCGTCATCAGCAGGCCGCTCTGGTACAGGGGCGTGAGGAGGCCCGCGCCTATGATGACGTCCATGCCGGTCCTGCGCTCGAACAGGATGTCTCCCGCATGGTCGTGGAGGAGCTTCGCGATCTTGACCTCCATGACGTCGCCCGCCTGGCCGACGAGCTCTTCAATCTTGTCCAGGAGGCTGCCGTCGGCGGCCAGCTTCCTGGCCTCCCGCATCGCGTCAGAATCGTCGTTCTGGGCCTTTCTCTTGATCCAGTCAAAGAAGTGGCCGACCTCGCCGGAAGGCTTGGGCCCATCTGCGAGCTTTCCGAAGCTTTCGTATATGCTGAAGATGATCAGGTGAGCCACCTTGTTCGTGATGCCCCATAAAGGCGCCCTTTCCACGTTTTGCTTGGGCGGCGGATATAACTGCCGGGCCTGTCGGTTCGTAAGCATGCGGATGTCGGGCTTCCAGACGAGCCGCGTGAACGGGCTGCTGAAGGTCATGTCGTCGTCCGCAGTCCTCGCCTCGCTGGAGTAGCTGACGCAACGCAGGTTCTCCGTGCTGAGAAGGACCTCGCCGTCGGGGCCCAGCATCTGCAAGTCGAGGTGGGCGCTGCGGATACCCCGCCTCGTCCCGCGAGCGGTGACGGTGCACACGTCTTGCGTAATGCCGTTCGAGATGTAGAGCCGGGGGATCTGGACGGGCAGGAAGGCCGTACTGGCTTCGTCGGCCCGGCCTTTGTGGCAGGCAATCAGCCCCAGCTGGATGGCACCGTCGAGGGAGGCGGGGTGGACCGGGTATTGTGATTCGCCTCCCGCCAAAGTAGAAGGCTTGAGGTCGACGGTTGCCACGGTGGCACCGGAAACTGGGTCGACGCGGATGTCGGACAGCGGTTGAAAGACCGGGCCGTAGCCGAGACCGATATCGAGGAACTTCTTGTACCAGAGTTGAGCGCCCACGGCCCGCGAGGCATGATGGACTTGATGCTTATCTAGGGTGTGCTCATCAGCTTCAACGTGGATTTTGATGCGGCCGGTGCTATGTTCAGTCCATTCGTCCGTATCGCGCTTCACGGAGCTGATGGAGAAGGTCGCCCATGCCGGTGACTGGGACGTGGCGTTATCAACAAGCTCCATGCTCGTCAGAATCTCGACGCCATAGTCGTCTTCCGGGATGGCCAAGCTCTTCTTGATATCCATGTTACGAAGTGAGAAGCCCTTGACGTCCGACGTCTGAGACTCGGCATGAGCGCGCAAAGCAGCTTCCACTGCCATGGCCACATACGCCGCCGCCGGCAGCACAGCATCTGTAAAGTCACCACAGGTTATGATCTGTTCTGAATTTGTATCGCGCCCAGATTTGAGGCCCATGTAACTTACCTGGCACAAGGCGATGATCGCCCAGCCACGGGACGTCTTTCATGCGGAGTATATTCCTCCATTGAGGCCGCAGCTTGGCGTTACCGGCAACCTTGGAACCAAGCAGATCGTGCCTAAGGATGGACCGAAAGCGGTATTCCTTGCTAGCCCGGCTCTCGTGATAGTTCAGACCCCCATAGGTATACTGGTATGGCGGAAGGTCAGAGCTGACATGGCCGTGTTCCAACCCTGTACCGTCTGTGCTGTCGACGGCGTTGACGGCAGCGAGGTCGACGCTTGCGTTCAGACCGAACAAGGTCCCGACACACTGCAGTAACGAGCGGCGGCCGTCTTCCTGTCGCTTCAACGTCGACGCATACGCGACGGTCTTCCCGGCATCCTTCACGATCTGCTCCAAGGGGCTCTTCAGCGCCGGGTGAGGTCCAATTTCCACCAGCACGTTGATGGGGACGTCTTGCCTGCTCAAAAGCCTCGTAACCGCCTCCGAGAAGAGGACTGGGGACTCCAGGTTGGCTCTCCAGTATGAAGCCGCATCGCCAAACTCGGCAGTGCTCTTGGCAGGTGTCACTGACGATATCCACAAGGTAGGGTCGTACCGCCTCCTTGCAGAGTCGGGCCCAAGTCCTCGAACGCTTTCAAGTCCCTTGGCGAGCATCTCCGAGTACTCCCGTCCGATTGGTAGCATATGGTGCGAGTGGTAGGCATTGCCGCCGGTCTGTAGCTGACGGTTGAAGACGCCGTCCGTCGTCATGGCTGCAGAGATGTCTTTGATAGCCGCGGGTTCGCCGGATAAAGTGACGCTGCCTGGGGAGTTGACGGCTGCCACCTTGACTTCATCTTCTCTGCCGTCGAGGTACCGTGCCACCTGCTCGAGCCCGAGGCCCACGGCCAGCATTGCGCCCTTTTGGCTGTTCCTTGCGACCGCCTGGCCACGGAGATATGCGGCCACGATGGCCTCGGCCGCCGTGATGCGACCCGCAGCGTATGCCGCTGCTATCTCACCAGACGAATGCCCGGCGACACCAGAAGGTCTGATAGACCATGAAGCAAGGAGGTCGACGAGACCGATCTGCGCGGCGGTGCACACAGTCTGGGATATCTCGGCGGTTTGAATCAGCGCAGCGTCTTGGCAGTCCCCGGAAAGAATGCTGAGCAGGGACCACGAAGGAGGATTCGCGAGTGAGCCGAGGACGCGGTCGAGGCTCTCGATGGCTGATCGGAAGACGCGATACTCGAACAGTTCACGGCCCATGCCGTGCCACTGCGCTCCCTGGCCGGTGAAGATGAAGCCCAGGTTGGCGGTTTGCAAAGGTGCCCGCGTGATCTTGTGAGGTGTCCCGAGCCCTTGAGCGACGCTGTCCCTGTCGACGATACAGAACGACCGTTGAGCGAACCTCGAGCGCCTGGAACTGAGGGTGTAGGCGATGTTTGCCAAAGGGACCTTGTCGACGACACGCGATAAGGCGGCGAGGTTCGACTCGAAAGAACGTTCCGTGTGGGCCGAAAGCGGCAAGAGTACGAGCTGGCGTGTGGCTGCGTTGGACGAGGCAACCGACCTTGGCTTGTGGACGACTGAAAGAGGTTCCCTTGGCTCTCCTTGTTGAGTTGCGTTGGTGTGGCCGTTGGTGTGGCCTTTCTGCGTCCCGTTGGTCTTGCGCCGGTAGACGCCAGGGGCTACATAATCAGGCAGTACGATGTTGACATGGTCGATGATGCAGTGAGCGTTGGCGCCACCGTAACCGAACGAATTGATGCTTGCTCTTTGGGGACGATCCTTGGGCCACGGGGTGACCTCTGTTACTGGCAGGACGTTGGCACCTTCAAAGTCGATGTTGGGGTTTCGTGTCTGGAGGTCAAACAAGGGAGCAATGGCCCCATTCTCGAGAGAGAGTACTACTTTCATGATGGACGCCAGAGCGCTGGCGCCTTCTCCGTGTCCTACGTTGCTCTTGACAGAGCCGACGAGCAAAGGGTCGTCGGCCGACCTCTCCGGGGCGAACACCCTCCCCAAGGCAGCCACTTCGATCGGATCACCGACGTAGGTGCCCGTTCCGTGGCATTCGAAATAGCTGGTGTCGCGGAAGGGGAGATCGCCGGCGCTGCGGTAGGCTTCCCGGATGACCATCTCCTGGCCTCGAGCGCTCGGCCGCGTGATGCCGCCGGTTCGGCCGTTGGAGTTGATGGCGGTCCCCCTGATCATTGCGCGGATGGGCGAGTGGTCGGCGACGGCCAGCGATGGCCTCTTCAGGTAGATGGCCCCGTAACCTTCTCCCCGGGCATAGCCCTCGGCTCTGGCATCAAAGGTGTGACACCGCGACGACGCAGAAAGGGCGCCGAGTTTGTCTAGGGCGATCTGGACTCCGGGGTCCGCAATCCAGTTGGCGGATGCCACGATTGCGGCATCGCAGTCCCCGGCCCGGATCGAGTTGACCGCCAGGTGGAGAGCATACATGGATGACGAACAGGCCGTATCGACAGTCAGGCTAGAGGGGGCTCATCAGCGGCCATTGCTGGATTGTTCGGATACGCATTGGGCATTAGAGAGAGGGACAAACACACCTTGGCCCCTGAAGGTTGAAGATGTAGCTGATGCGGTTGGCGAGGATGCTGGTGCCAGCCCCGGTAAAGGCGTACGGCCTCGGGTTGTCCCAGTCGCGTGACTGGATCATCCAGTGGTCCAAGCAAAAATTACCGACAAAGACTCCGGTACGAGACCCGGAGACGCTGTCCCATGTCTCTCCGGCATTCTCTATGGCTTCGTACGACACCTCGAGCAACTTGCGCTGGGACGGATCCATCGTCTCTACTTCGAGGCCCGTCATGCCGAAGAAGGCGTGGTCAAACAGCCGGGCGTCCTCCTTGGCGAGAAAGGCGCCTTTCATGGATATGGAACCTGGTCTATCGGGGTTTGGGTGATAGAAACCGCTCGTTGAGAAGCGCGGTTCGTCGAATTCCTTCCAGCCATTCGTCTTATTGCACAAGAACTCCCAAAACTGAGAACTGTCATGAACGCCACCCGGCCACCGGCATCCTGTTCATGTCTTTTCAGTCCACGGTTTTACTCCAATAGTGAAAAAGGAGGGGGGGGGGGGGGGGCTCTCATACCCATGCCTACGATGGCCACCGGCTCGTGCGGGTCATGGTTGTGCTGGGAGGGAGTCATGGCGAATCGACTTTTGACTAACAGAGTTAAGACGAAAAATTAGGTTACTGAGCAGTGATGTTGAATGAAGTTTTGCTCGAGGTATGTCGCAGTCTTCTAGACAATGTTCTGCGGCAACAACCAATAGGGAACAGTGACATATAGTTTGATAACACACTCCACGCCCTATTAACATACACGATCGCCGACCGTCCCCCGCAATATTCCACCTTGACTGTAACATTTTGCCTGACGAGACAGACCACTTTTTACTTGTCTGTTTGCGTATGTATGTGCGTCCCTTTGGCCGAGGCAAAAGGGCCGACAGGATACCCTTGTCTCTATCCGTCATGCCCGATGGCGGGCCATTGCAAGTCTTGAATCGTCTCATTCGGAATAGAAAACACCGAGGAGCAGTATTGCCGAAGATTATGTTGTCGAGGTGTTGTACAGGCAAGTCTCATCTTCTCAAGTCTTCCCCCTATCCCGGAAACCCTTCATCGCAAGCATACGCTTCTTGTTCTGGACTCACTCGTCGCAGCTTGTTCACCAAAACACATCTCGGCCCAAAATGACTGACCACGCAAACACGGCTGTTGCTCAGGATCCATCCTCGTCGATCCTGGGCCTGGCACAGGACGTCCTGGCACTCACACAGGATATGACCAAGTACTTTCAGGCCAACAACATTGCCGCGCCGACATTTGCGCTCAGCTCCCAAGACCCTCCCGATACGCCGGATTATCGCCGCCTCCACGCCTCGCTCAAGTCTCGCCTCGAGGACCTCCTGCACCTCATCGATGGCCCCAGCAAGTGGCTGAGGGCCTTCTGCTGCACCGGCTACGACCTGGGCGCCCTCCAGATCGCCCTTGACTTTGATTTCTTCGAGCTGGTGCCGGCCAGCGGAGACATTTCGCTCGAGGACCTGGCCGAGAAGGCCGGCCTGGACCTGGATCGCACCGGCCGCGTCGTTCGGCAGCTCATGACCTACCGCATCTTTGACGAGCTCCGGCCGCGGATGATCTCTCACAGCTCCACCTCGCTCGCCATGAGACAGGACGAGGACCTCCGCTCCGTTGTCCACTACTCGCTCGACGAGATGCTAAAGGCAGCGGCCGACTGTAACATTAGCCTCAAGGCCAACCCCAACGAGTCGCACCAGAACCTCAACCCGTTCGTCACCCGGCACGGCGTGGGCATCTTTGAGTACTACAAGAACAACCCAGACAAGGCCCGCCGGTTCGCCAAGGCCATGGCCGGCCTGAGAAAGATGGATCGCCACCTCGACTACCTGCTCAAAGACGGCTTCAACTGGTCCGCCATCAAAGGCACCGTGGTCGACTGCGGCGGCGGCAACGGACACATTTCCAAGAGTTTGGCTCAGGTAAGCCCATTCACGCTCCCCCCCTCCCTTGGAAGCTCATTTGCCGCAGTAAATCTAACAACCACAGCTCTATTCCGACCTAAACTTTGTCGTGCAGGATTCCAACGCCGAAATGCTTGCCGAGGGCAAGGAATCGCTCCCAGACGACCTCCGGGATCGAGTGACGTTCTCCCAGCACAGCTTCTTCGACCCCCAGCCCGTCAAGAACGCCGCTGCTTTCCTGATCCGCCAGTGTACGCACAACTGGGCAGACCGGGACGTCGTCAGGATCTTCAAGTCGTTCGTTCCCGGGCTCGAAAACTCGAGCCCCGACACCCCGCTGCTCATCAACGACATCATTATTCCTGAACCGGGTACGTGGCCTCGCCACCAGGAGCGCATCGTGCGGCAGGTGGACATGGTCATGTTGGTCAACTGCGGCGCCAAGCAGCGCAACGAGGCCGAGTTCGCGGCGCTGCTGAAGGAGGCAGACCCTAGATACGTGATTCGCAACGTCTTTGACAACGGGCCGCTGGGTCTGCTCGAGGTCTATTTGGAGCGATCATGAGTCATGACCCCAGGCGAGAGTGTCGGGCGCGTCAATGCCAAGGATTGCGACGGAGGGAAGCAGCTTCTGGCATAGTGATCGTCCTCGAGTATCTCCAATAGATTAACTTGTCCTACTGGGAGACATTGTACGTCTAGCAGCCATCCATCTTTCTGCGGGGAACGTCTGCAATAGAAAATCCGGGTCGCGTATATTCATCATTTCTCCATCACCGTTGTCACCAGTTCCACTCGCAAACCAAAGAGCTCTGTGTTAGCACAATGTCTTCTAGAACCGACACCATCTTGATCATTGGCGGACCAACCTCACGGCGCCGACACTTGCCGCGCATTACCTTGCGCCGCATCTCCTCGCGCTGGCAAGGTCCGGCATCAAGACGAACATATTCCTCACCAGCTCCTCTCTGGCGTACTTCCCGGTGCCCTTCTATCCGACCCACTGCCCTCCCAAGGCCGGCGTTGCCGTATTCGTCAAGGTCTTGCGCATGCAGCTGCAGGCCACCGGCTGCACAAGCATGAACGTTGTAGAGAGTGTGCCCCCCTACGTCGACACACCCCTAAGCGCCGCGCACCGAGACCAGACGAATGCGCTGCAGGGGGGCAGTGACAAGGCGGTCCAGCCCATACCGCTCGAAGAATACGTTGAACGGTTTTTCGCCGCCGTGGAAGAGACGGCACCGGACGGCTCTCTGAAGAATGAAACTGGCGTTGGCTTCGGTGCTCAAGGTACCGCGGTCTGGAACGATGGCTTCAGGAAATCGCTCACGGGTTTCGGCATGGCAGCGCAGATCTCGTCATCGGCGGCTCTGGCTTCTCAAGTTTATGCCGAGACTACATGTAAGGCGACCATTGTGGGGGGTATCTGACCTGACCTGACCATTGCTGATAACCTGACTGACCAGGGTGTGGGCCTGCCCGGATTAATACCATATTCCATTACCCGAACCAATCCCTAACTCAAATCCTAACCCCAACCCTAACCGAACCCTAGCCGACCCTATCCACCAACCATACTTGGCTTAGTGCGTGTACGGTACTTTTGCCCCACTAATGGTCAGGTCAGGTCAGGTATCCCCCCCAATGGTCGCCTTGACTACAGACTCGTTTATGCCGAAGTTGCCTAGGCTCAGGAGAGAGAGAGAGAGAGAGAGAGAGAGAGAGAGAGAGAGAGAGAGATCATGTATCCGTAACTAATCAGAAACTGTTGGCATACGGGGGAAACCAGGTCATGTTCCACACCGCCCACGGCAGAAAAGTCTGCCCCACCAACTATTATCCCCTCAACCGCGATAAGGCCCCATCTCCACTTATTTCTCCGCACTACTACGTAGTAGTAACTTACAGCGTGGCTCTTCAAAGAGAGGGAAATCGCTAGTACCTCTGGTATCCCATCAGGGGCGATAAGGCCCCATCTCCACTGCAGGCACCAATAATGACCCCACAAAGGTTAGAGAATGTACAGTACCTCTATTTACGCCTATTTTTGCCTATACTAGAGGTACTAGCAATTTCCCTCCTTATAAAGAGCCACGTTATAAGTTAAGTAACTATAATAAGACTTTCTCTACTATAGGCAAGATATAAGGGTATTCCTAGATATCTCCCCTAGGGCTACCCTATAATCTTATAACTTTACCCTACTATAGTAAGCATAAGGCCTGTATTTCCCTCTTAACCCCTCTATATAGTCCTGCTATAGAACTAGATTATTACGCCTATTTATAAGGTACCTAGGCTAAGCTCTTAGTTAACCTATTACTAATATTATAAAGTGCTAAATTAGCTAGGTAGTAATAGTCTCTTACTATAAGTACTAGTTTCTAATAGAGGTTTAGTTAGGGCTACTAAGGTACTATAGCATAAAGCTATTTATAAGTGTAACTAGCAGGAGAAACTCCTAGGCAAAAGCCTACTAGCCCCCTTAATAAATAGGGTGCTACTACTAATAATAGGCCCTTATTTAGTTACTTATATCTACACTATTTATATAGTAGTTATATTAGTTAATAAATCTAGGCACTAGTAAATCCTTTTAGGTATCTAGGCTAAAAAGCTACTAAGTAGCCTACTTAGTAGCTATATCTTTAGTTAGCTAGCGCTAGTAACAGATAACCTCTTCCTCTAAAGAGGCCTAAAAAATAGTTATAAGAAAAAGCACTAAGGTATTATCCTTCTAACTAAATTAGTTAACCTATATAATAGTAAACTAGTTAGTAAAAGTAATATATAAAAAAAAGGTTTTATAATATATACTAACCTATTTAGTATAAAGATACTATAAATAGTACCCTAAGGAATACCTTAGCCCTTATTATTCTTTTTAGCTATAAGGACTAGATCTATCTTACTATTTCTTTAGTAGGTACTAGAAGCTTTAATACTAATCTTCTAAAAGGCCTAAAAAAGCTATATAAATAAAAAGAGGTTATCTAGATAGATATAGTAAGCTACTAGCTATATAAGGCTAATAAGGGTTATAACTACCTATTAGGTTAGTGTTAGCTAGGCTGCTTTTATAGCCTTATTAGCCTTATTAGTTATAACTCTAGGCTAGGCCTAAGGGACTAGTCTGTATAGGCCCTTACTATAAATATACTAAAGCTACTAGAGGTAGTACCTAGATTAAGTAAGGATCTATATCTTAAAGCTAGTTAGGATTAGCTTTATTAGGATAGTTATTTTCTTTTAGGCCTAGCCTATAAATTAGACTATAGCCTTATTAATAGTAATTTTAGACCTAGGTATATATAATAAATCTTTAGCTTCTTAGATATAGGCTAACTATTAGTTAACCTTTTAGTATATGTTAGTATACGGTAGGCATGCTTTAGGGGAGGTAGTCACGTGATATTTACGTAACACACCGCCTCCCTTAGCAGTATCCACCTTACTACTAGTATACTACTTAAAAGTCTAGATTCACTTTATAACTAACTAATATAATAAGTAACTACATTCTATATTACAATTTATTACATAATCTATAGGATATCCCTCTTATATAATTTAACTAACACTAATTAGTGCGTAATTAAATTATAAGATTACTACTATTAAACAGATTAGTAAGGTTTATTTTACTAGGAGTAGAGAGGATTAACTAGCCTATTAGTAAATAATCCTCTATAAATTTAACCTTTATTATTATTACCTCCTTACTCCCTTACTTTATATTAACTAAATTCTTATTAATAATAAACAAAAAGGGGAAAAACAGAAAGCTACTACTAGTAATAGTAGGGCTATTAAACTAATAAATAATAAATATCTATTCCCTTTTATATTTTTTACTATTACTATTATTACTATCCTACCTCCTATAGCCTCTCCTTTTTCTACCTACTTTTATCTACTACGTTAATCTAATAACGTAAGGTAACTATATTAATTTTAATCTTAATAAGTTAGACCTCTATAAAGTTAGATTATATATAATATATATAATTACTATATAGTTAGACGCTAACCTTTATAGCTACTACCTTTTTACTACCTTCTAGTTAGATTTTATAAATTAGACTATTACTACCTTTAACACTATAGGCACTAAGGTATTATTAATATTTTGTAATTACCTTATTAATAATAGAGTCTTTATTAATCTAGCAAAAAGAAGGATTACACCTAAATTAGTAGACCTTCTTAACGCTAATTTCTACACGTAGACTAAAGAAAATATTACTTTTACATACTATAAACAGCCTATCTTTAACTTATAAATAAAGAATCCTAAATTTATTAATAATATTACTAGTTAATATATCTTACCTAAGGAGAGATTAATAATTAATTAGGCCTTATTTACTGCTTTTTTAATATTATTATAAATAATAGCTAATACTACTTTATAAAGGTAGCTAACCTTATTTACCCTAACTTATCTACTAATAGTAGATTATTACTAGCTAAAGTAGGAGTAAAATAGCCTAACCTTACTCTTATAATAAGATAAAATCTACTAAGCACTTACTAATCTAAACCTAGTACTTAGAGGTAATATAAGCACTTTATTTATTAATACCTTATTATATAACCTAAGAACCTCTTACCCTTATTACCTTTATTATAACTAGTATAATAAGTAATTAGGTAGTTAGCCTATTATAATAGATAAAGTAAATCCTTAGTAAGATATACTATTTAATTTATTAAATAACCCTAAGCCTACTGCTAACCTCTTACCTTAGGGCACTATATAGAGATTTTAATTATAAGGCTATAATAAGTTATAACGTTAGCCACTATATAAATCTAAATTTATACCTATCCCTTCCTCCTAACTACACCCCTGTTAACTAACTAATCTTATAAAGCTACTAACAGATAAAACTAAGTATAGCAGTAAGTTATATAACGTTCTTAATCTTAAGTTAAGTATCTTTTAAGATAACTATAGTAAGGTTAAGATTAAGTAACACTAACTTAGTCCTGCCTTTTCTATTATATTAAAAGGTAAGGTATCTTAGTTCTATATTAATTATATCTATAGTAATAGTATTTATAATTTTAATAAGATAGTTAACTAAATTTATAACTACTTTAAGACATAAGAATAAATATAGACTTACTTATTTAAATAGTAAGAAATAACACTTCCTTAAGTTATATATAATAATCCTATAATAACTAAGATCTAAGCCCTTAAGGAGCTTATCTTAAAGCTAGCCCTTATCTAATAGGCTCTCCCCTTATTATACTAAAATAATAAGGTGTTAAGAAGTTAGTTACTAAATACCTACTCTAGGGTTCCTAAGTGTAACCTTTACCTATACGCTCTAGCTATAATATTAGAAGAAGTATATAGCTAATTATAGTTATATATTAGTACTACTATAAGGCGCCCTTATTATAGCTAGTACCTTACTAAATCCTTACCCTTATTACCTAATAATTAATATTAAGTAGACTACACCTACTAAGGCTAAAGCTATTATTAATAGTTTAGTAATAACTATAGTAGTAGTAATTTTTATAATAGTAATAATAATAATAGTAGCTATAATACTAAAAAGTACTATATTTACTATAAGCCTAGCTACTAGTTAATAAAGCATACTACTAATAAAAGACGTAAAGCGTACTAGTAATTTAAAGGTAACTATTATATTAAAGATACCTTACTAACTGCATATAACACCTTCCTTACTAGCTATAAAGACACTTATCTATAAGAAGGAGAAAATAAAAATAGTAATAATAATAAAAATCTTTAGTAGTATCTATAAGGGGCCTACTTTATTATTAATAATAATAAAAAATAAGATAATAATATATTTTACACCTTAACTATATTCTTTAGTAGTACTAAAGTAGATAGTAACGTGCTTACTACTAACCTTACTAACTAAGCTATCTATTACTAATTAATAAAAATTAACCTTAATAGTATCTTTACTAAGTCACTTAGTACCTTTATACTAAATTATTACTTATTAGCTACTTTTTAAAGTATTTTACTAGATATAAGTGTAGTAAGTTACTTAACTACAGGCTACTTATAAGCTATTACACTATAGTAAATTTAACTATTTATAACTATTAACACTATAGCTATAAGTAAAGTAAAGATTAAGTTTAGTAATAGTAATACTATTACTTTATAAGGCACTATTATAGTAGAGACTCCCCTTAGGTATATTACCTTTTATATAATACCTACTAACATACCTTTCTTACTCTACTTAGCTAATATAGATTAGCTATTAATTTAATTTAATAACCTTATAAATACTCTTTAATAAGGCAAACTTATAGTACTAGTTATATAAAAATAAGGCTACCTATAGATACTACTTAGCCTGCCTAAGTAAAGCCTTATAAGTTATTACCTAACTAATGTTAAGCTATACTGCCTTTATTAATAGTTTAGCTATCTATTAATTTACTAGCTATATAAGATCCTTTATAAGGCTAGTTATAAAGTTAAAATAAAGGTAATTAAATACTTAATAAAGTACTATTATTATTACTAGATCTATAAGAAGGCTTCTTCTTAATTCTAATTTACTTTACGTAATAACTATTTATTTAATTATAAAGTTATTATTAATATTATATACCTTAATAGTAACCTTATACTTTACGTTATTAATACTACTACTACCTTTAATATAGCCTACTTCCTTTATAATATTTTAGTAAAAACTATATAAGAGGCACTACGTTACTACTAAATTAATATCTACTAAGGACCTCTAGATTAGATTATTACTAACATAAGGTAGAACTTTATTTTAACTAAATTTTTATATAAAGCCTATATAATAGGTATTAAAGTTAAGATTATCCCTATTAAAGTGTATTATAGCGTTAGGAAGATTAAAAGATACTATACTATACTTTAATAGGCGTATAAGATAATTTAAAAGGAATACCTATCTATTAATTATAAAGCAGCACTTTAAAGCGCTACTAAAGTAGTTAATAATACTACTAGCCTAAATAGCCTTATACCTACTTTATTAGTATTTAGCGCCTACCCTTATATAACTACTAACTTTACCTTTTTACTTAAGATAATCTAATATATAATAGCTATCTATAAGGTAACTAAAGATCTTTATAAATATAACGTAATATAGTAAATTAATAAGGCTTTTACTACCTATAACAGCCTAAATACCTTTATAATAAAGGATCTACCCTTAGGTAGTAATATTTATATTTAGTATAAAAAAAGAGGTTAGTCTAGCCTATATAAGTTACTTACTACTTAAGGTAAAGACTTTACTATTAATATTAATAGCCCTTATGTTTTCTAATCTATATTAGTTAAGCTATACTATATAGTAGATAATAAAAAAGGAGGCTTAGCTAAGTAATATCCTTTATTTATCTTAAATAATAATAGTAGTTATAGTAATAAGCCTACTAAAGATACTATTATTATTATAACTAGTTTAAGGTAGTAGCTATATACTAATAATCCTACTATTATATAACCTTAATAAGCTAAGAAAATCCTTATAAGATACACTTTACTATAAGAGACTAATATACTTTATACTACCTTCCTCTTAGTAAAAGAAGAAGCCTATTAAACCCTTATAATCTAACTATATAAAAAAGGCGTTATTATAGTACTTAGTAAGCTATTTAAGTAATTAGTAGCCACTAAGATTAACAGCCTTATTATATAAGGCGTCTTTAAATTTACTATAATTAACTAACTTTAGCTATATAAGTAAATTTTTAAATTATAAATTATAAATAAAGTAAAAGGCACTAATAAGAAGCTTTATAAGAAATTACGCCTTATTATTTAAGGCTACACTAATAATAGTAAGGAGGCTATTCTTACTTAGTTACCTACTATCTAGTAAGCTAGCTAGTAGCTTATCCTTACGCTAGCCTTTTCCTTTTTTATTAATAGTAAAGTTATATAGCTATATAATATTACGTAGGCCTATATTTAATCTACTTCCTACCTTAACTATACTATTTATACTAAACTCCTAGCCTAAATTTATTATAAGTACCTTAATAATACTATTATAAAGGTTATTAAGCTTTTATATAGGATTACTAAGGTAAGTATATACTAGTAGGCTACTTATAACTATTACTATAAGGAGAATCTTTAGATAGTCTTTATTATATATAACCTTTATTTTCTCCTGTTATTTAGTAAAAATCTACACTTTACACTTATTAGTATGTAAACAGATAATACTATTAGCCTAATAGACCTTCTATTTTCTAACTAAGAGAATAAGGAACTAACTAAGGTAAAATTTACTATAAAGGATAAGTTATTCCTTACTATTAACTAACTGCTTACTTTTAATAGTAAGATTATTATAGTTATATCTATTATAAACACTTTTATTACGCTCTACTAGAAAAGGTAAGAAGTAAAACTATAATTAATTAATATAAAGTTACCTATAGCCTACTAAGATTTTGTCTAATAACAGGTATAAAAAGTATATATTACCTCTATTTACTAGCCTAAAGTATACTATAATTTTTCTATTACAGCCTAATATAAGGAGCTAGATAATAAGGTAATTAAAGACCTTAACTATTAACTATAATAGTAAATAAGCTTACTTAACTATAGTTTATAATTTATTCCCTTAGATCTTATATTAGTTAAGCTATTTATATTTATAAATAGATTATTTACTAATAATTATAATATAACTTTATAGTTAGGGTTTATTATCCTCTTTATAAATAAGGAAGTTAATAATAACTAAGCTAAATTTCTCCTCTATAGTAATATCTTTTATTTCTTATTTATAAAGTCTAAATAAGTTACCTAAAGCGTCTTTATATCTAAAGTGTATAGGATAGTTATAGGTGTTAATATAGCTTACGCCCTTTTTATAACTATTATAATAATTATAAAGAAGCTTAACATCTTATTAATCCTAACTATTATATATATAGACTTATATTTACTTTATAAATACCTAGTTAAGCTAGAAACTATAAGGGAGAAGCGTCTTATAATTAATATTATGTTACTAAGATAGTCTTATAAGTAATATAAGCTCTATAAAGTCTAATAAATTACTAGATCTAATAATCTAGCTAATAGATTTATAAAGGTATCCCTAAATTAAGCACTTAAGGGCCTAGTTATAAATAACAAAGCTAAGATATATATAAAAGGTTAGGTTATATAGGCGTAATAGATTATAATAGGTATATAGCAAAGGATAGATTATAGGTTATATAACTAACTAGACTATAATAGTAGTAGTTAAATCTAACTAACGTAAGAATACGCCTCTAATAGCTATAGCTAAGGAGAAACGCCCCTAAATAAGTTAGTATAAGCCTACACTATTTATAAGGAAAAATAGAGGATATAGGAATATATAGTATATAACTACAAGAAGTGTAATACTTTTAGAGTTTTAATTTTTATTACGCTTTTAAGGCTTTTAAGGGTAATCTAGATAGCTAGGGCACTAGTGACTTTTACTATAAAAGAAAAGTTACTAGTGTTAGTATATAGTAGGTATACTTTAGGGGAGGTAGTTACCTAATATTTACGTAATATACTGCCTCCCTTAGTAGTATCTACCTTACTACTAGTATACTACCTAAAAGTCTAGATTTACTTTATAACTAACTAATATAATAAGTAACTATATTCTATATTACGATTTATTACGTGATCTATAGGATATCCCTCTTACGTGATTTAACTAATAGTATACGTCTAGTATTAGAGAAGCTAGGCCAGCCTAGCTAAGGTTAAATTTAAAAAAGTTAAAGATATAAAGCTAGCAGTAGAGGAGCTTAAACTAATCCTAGGCTATATACTAAGTAAACCTATAAGTAAGGCTAATCTCTAATAGCCTAGTTAACTAATATCTATTAATTTAAAATTTAAGGTATAAGTCTATATAAATTATAATTAATAAAAAGAAATAAATCTTATTAACTAAGGTATCTCTTTAGGCAGAGGTTCTTAAATATAGCTTAAAGGGGCTATAAAAGGTCTTTAAATAGTTATTAGTCTATATAACCTACTACGTAACAAGAGTAACTAGTATAAATTAGAGGAAGAGGTTAACTAAAGAATCTAGCAGCACTAAGATTGTTAGGGCCTAGACTAGCACTTTAAGGGGTGTAAAAGTGCCTAGAGGCCTAGTATCTAGGGCCTTATCTAGCTAGATAGTACTATTATTACACCGCTCTAGTAGGCAACTTTAGGTATAGGCAACAGTAAGGTTAGCCAGACAGACCTTAATATAGTCCTATATAGATCTAGCAGATCTAGCAGATCTAGTAGATATAGAGGTATTAGAATCAGAAGACATTATAGAATAATTAATAATATTAATTTTAGTAGTAATACTATACAAAATAGTATTAAGATAAATAGTGTTACGTTATGTATTTCTATTACGTAAGTGTAGTGCGGAGAAATAAGTGGAGATAGGGCCTTATTGCCCCTAATGGGATAGGCAAAAACAGGCGTACATAGATAGAAGTAGTGTACATTTTTTGACCTTTGTGGGGTTATAATTGGTGCCCACTGTGGAGATGGTGCCTTATCGCGGTTGAGTGGATAACACTATTATAACCCATGTCCCGGTCAGTCCACTTTACATACTTCACGACAACAAGGAACGGTTGTTCTAACTTTAGTGCACCAGCCAGTCAACTGGGGATATCCCACCGCAACCAATTGCCAATTGCCTAGTGGTGAACTAACAGAAACCTCGGGTTAGGAAGGTGGACCAAGACGCGCGAATTTACCTGTACATCTCGCCGAGCCTGACATAGCACTGCTACGGCACGCGTGCAATCCCCTCCAGTCCAGCATACGACGACAACTCCGGCGAGACCGGCAACAGCTGGAAGTTTTAGACAACCAAGGTCATGACGATCCTTATCTCCATGTACGCCAGCCTCCTACCGCGCGTGAGTGTTCGCTCCGCGCTCCGGCGTCGACGGAGAAGGGCGGCGAAAGGAAGCTGGGCCCGTTGGACATGAAGAAGACCTGATTCCCCTTCGGAATGGGGTGGGGGGACACGGGCTCACCTCGTCTCGGAGGACTTTGCTTTCAAAGCCGGCCGGCCGGCCCTCTTTGTCGGCCCGAGCCGCCTCTCGCGCCACCATGTGCTCTATGCCCGTCTCGACGTGCCCAGAGCGGTAGTTGTCCACTCCGATCGCGACTTGCTCCTTCATGACGCGCTTTTTCTCGTCAAAGATGGCCCTGTATCACGACTGCTTCTACCACCACCAGGTCTGCAGCTTCGGCATGAGGGCGTTGATGGTCTTCTCCACAACCTCGGGGGCTTCGTAGACGGAGTTCGGGAAGTCGGCGAGGGGGACCGTCGGTAAACTGACGGGGTCGTCCACCGTCTTGATGTCGATGTCCTCCAGCGCCAGCCTGCTCAGGAGTTGGACCTGTGGACCGAGTGCCGTGTGCTTCCAGTTGCTGCCGAAAGCGAAGTCGAGCATGACGCCGAGCGAGGTGTACTCGAGATCTTTCTTGACGCTGAACGGACGCCCTCTTGCCAGCTTGGCCCTCAGCCACCACAGCTCCACGAGCTCGAGGCCCTTGTTTAAGACGGCCGGTCCGACGTGATTGTCGAGGAAGCTGGAGGTCATGCGGTCCTGTATCAGCTGGCGGTTCGACTTGAACTTGTCTCCGGTGGTGTAAATGCCGTGGAGATAGCCCATGCTCTCCATGCCGTCCGGGAGGAAAGACGACTTGTCGAATTCGCGACGGCGCGTCGGGATATCTTTGGCCTGCCGCATCGCCCAATGAGAGGAGGGAAGACATGGACAAGATGCTGTGTGGGGTGAAAAATGTGCTCTCTCACTCTTTGGAAACCTCTGTTTCGATGTGCAAATCCCATTAGTGATTCGCAACTGCAACCAGTTGCCTGATCCCCATGGGTACGACAACGACAGCATACATAGTCGGTTGTGATCTTGGGAGGGCTCAGCAGTCCCGCCTTGATACAGCTCGTCCTCGCCATGAAGCCGCGTCTACCTCCTAGCTTCATTTCCACGTAGAACGGCTCGGGCCTGCGTCCAACAAGTCTCCGCGACCCTTGACTGGGGTAGGGTTCCAGTCGGCCATCAGCCCTGACCTGCACGCCACACCCTGAAGTCGGCCAACGGTTCGAAGTCCCTTCGGCGTCGGTGTCAGCTGAGTCAAATCCAGAGACCTTTTGGATATTCAGCTGGACTAAACGCTGGGGGGGGGGGGGGGGGGCGTCAGATCGGCTGTATGCCAGCTGAGCGTCCCATCGTGTCACCCCTTAGACGACAGGGCCAAGCTCGAGTGATCATGTGATGATGGTGCCACGCCTCTCGGTTCGCGGCTGACCTTGGGTTCTGATCCATCAGCCTCGATACTTCATATCACACTAATGGCAAGTTTGCTGCCCCCCACCCCCTCCCCCAAGGCCGATGCGCCACTTTCAATATCCCAGCCTCGATCCTCGATACAACTGTGCCGCTGGGAGGGATCGGGGGCTTGCGAAGGGATCTCTACACTCCACTCGACGGATGGATGTTTGTTGCCTGGCTGATGCTGGGAAGAAGACCTGAATTTGGAACAACGGCCAGCCGATGTGGTCGGTTAACGCCTACGTCAACCACGCCAACGGGTTCGAGCCCGTCGAGCACATGTACGGGCACGAGGCGTGGCATTTGGAGAGACTTTGTAACCTCAAGGCCAGGTACGACCTTAGGCCTAAAGAATGCATCTTCTAATGCAACGTTAGATGATGCATCGTCTTGGCATGGCGACGAATTCATCGCGTCGGGTCCGGTGCCCGTCCCAACGAAGCGGCAAACACGCACCGACCAACTAGCCTATTTATTTAGCTGAAACTAAGAGAAAACAGCTTCATCTCCAGTAGCTTCAAATTTTGAAGACAAATCTAACCCTAGAGACATCTCTATTACTCTGTAATCTAAGGAGGTAGAGGGGTGGTGGGTGACTTGAAGTTGGAGAATTTAAAGTTGGGGGTGGGTCGATATTTTTAAGGTTGGATTGGCAGTCCCGCAATCTGGTAACCGCAACCCATCTCTCGGCTGAGGTGGACAGGGATATAGATGTTGAAGGCGCGCGCAAATCATCGGGCTTCGGCCGAAGACTATCCATCGGTTCGGCCGACAACTGTCCATCGGGCTGCGCCTGGGCCAAAAGATGGGAAAGCGGGGAGGGGGAGGGGAGGGTGTGTTGGCAGGCTGGTGCGACTGGCGCCTGTTAATGGCCAGAAGCTAGCTGCCGCGCATTCAGTCAGTCAGTCAGCAGTGCCTTTCTGTCGGGTTCCAGCGGCGTCTCAAACTCACCTACATGGCACTGTGGGAACATGAGTGACTGGCGTGACTTGAAGTGTGTTGTTAATGTTATATCGCGGTCCCTGTCTCCGTCGAGACCAACGAGCTTTGTGCCTCGAGTGACAGTACGCTGCAGCGTCTCCCCCCCCCCCCATCAGGTTTCGTCAAGATGTCGCTCCAGGAGGAAACCCTTTGGAGCAGGACTGATATCAAGTCGCTCGTCTTTGTCGGGGCGGGCACCTGCATCGCGTACCACATTGCCAAAGTCATCTACAAACCTCTTCTTTCACCCCCTGCGGCACATACCCGGTCCGAGGCTCGCGGCCGCAACATACATTCCGGAATTTCACTACGAGGTGCTGAGGTCCGGCTGCTACACCCAAGAGACATGGAAGATGCATGCGAGATGTGGTATCTTGGTCCCGCAAACAAGAGTTGAAAAAAAAAACCCCGGTCGAGGAACAAAGAGAGCCGACTTGGCACCCGAGATCCCATCGGCAGTGATTACCGTTTCATCGACATCTACGCTGTAGGGAACCGGAAAGCCGAGTTGGAAGATACACACACACACATGTTGGAATAAACGAATGCCGGTCGGTCAGTTGTGACGGGGCGCACTCGAGCTTTGCACTAGTCCGGGTTATGGTTAGCAGCTAGGGTGAGAGGTCCACTGCCAGGTTAACTACTATGTACGCCGTACCTTGCCTACCTATTATCTTCTAGTCAACACGCCTCGGAAGAATTCCACGCCTTCGTGGCGCTACCAGTGCACTCGACGCTGTCGAAAATGCATGTCTATGCCGTATCGAACTGCCATGTGCTGAATAAACATCTGCCGTCAATCCCGTATGGAAACTCCCTCCATCGTTATGCTGCATTACAAGGTCGGCGAGGGAAGCCATTGCCGGCGTCGGTTTAGTATAGCAAACAAGAGAGTTTGGAGGACCGTTGGTATGTGGTGGACTCGAGAGAGCAATGGTATCATTATGAGAGGCAACAATGCGCTTCGCAAAAATATTAGGTTTACCGTGATTTCCCACCAGACTTCCGACGACCATCTCCCCTCCGTTGACCAGGGCAATCCGCGGCCTTGTGCCCTGGCTTACCGCAGTTGTGACAGTTAAAGGGAACACTTGGTTTCCCCGCTCCAGAGATGCTACTAGCACCACCGGAGATGGATGCCAGCTTGTTCAGCTTCACTTCTTTCTTCTTCCGCTTCTCTCGAAACTCTCTAGCCTTCATTGACTCTGTCAATTTCTTGGGCTGCAGGTTGACCCTTGTGCGGCCTTGGCCGCCGGATGATAGGCCTTTGATGGTCTTGGCAGGCTTCGGCGTTGACTCCTCGTCGCCAGAGGAAGAATCGCTATCATCCTCGTCGCTGGACTCCTCCGAGTCGTCCGAGTCACTGGGACCGCTCGAGTCACTGGAATCGTTGTCGACATTCGGCGTGCTTTGAGTCTCGGTCTGGAGGTTTGATGATAAGCCGCAGCGCATACAACACGACACCTCGGCCGCACAGGCTTACCTTTGTCGCCTTCTTCTTGCTGCTTCCGACCTTCTTCCTGCCGACATGTGCTACAGGCTTGGATTCATCCTCCCCATCGGCACTATCAATGTCTGCGTAGCCAACGTATACAATGTTTGGCGGTGCCGCCTCGGCCTCGGCAGGCTTACCCCAGTCGCCATCCAGCACCCAATGCGTGTCTGCCAGCTCGGCCCTGGAGGCCTCGAGCGCCGACAAGCGCGTAGCTTCTTGCTGCTTCATAGCTGCCTGGACAGCGGCCTGGTCGAAGGAGTGGAAATCGCCAGAAAGAGGAGAGTTCTGGAACTTGCGGCGCTTTGACGAGGGCTCCTCTGGGGACGACTCTGGCGCAGGGCCGGAGTTGGCGGCTCTTTGCATGAATTTCATCGTCAACAGACGAGAGGAGATGCCCCTGCTAGGAGGGGTCTCTGGAGCCATGTTTGTAGTTGGCCGCATCGTAGCGACTCAGGTCTTGGTTCAGGCTTGGTGATATCAGTTGTTCTTGAGGCGGAATTCCAGATTCGGGATATCACTTGTAGGCGATAACGATGTGCAGGAGCCCTGAAGAACGCGGATTGAGGCTACGTCAGAGGGGAGAAGGGTCAGGTTAGATGGAAATGTGAGAGCAGCCAAAAATCTGGAATTCTGCCGTCCAAGATGCAAAATGCGCCGTCACCGCTCAGGCTAGTGGCTAAACGGTCCGTGCGTTGATATACCTACCTAGCTCGCTGTGTACGTACCGCATTTTCTGTCCGACCAGGGGCCTACACGCAAAACCAGAAACCGTGCTCGTGAGTGTTCATTACCTACCCGCATAGGGAGCTAGTACGTAAGTACGTACACACTAATTAGGTAGGAAAAGTACGGAACAGGTAGATATTATCCGGCCACTCGGTGCAACGAACACCTTTATCTACTGACTCGGCGACATACAAACCAGCACTGACATCTAGACGTTCTCTCTCAGCAGACGTCCTTTTCTTTGCGACTGCGCTCGAAACTATCTTCGAGCTTGTTTCCCCTGCCAGTTCACAACCAAACACCACCAGCAGCGGGTCGCGTATCCGTATTCCACGTCGTTTATTTGCCTAGCCAAATCGAATTGCGGACTACGCACTTCTGGCATCCAATAGTGCTCACCTACTAGCGTACCGAACTAGAAGCCGTTGTGGTTATGCCTCGGTCTTTCTCCGGGAGCCGGGAGGACAACGACCTGTCGCCGCCGCCGGCGACTTACCCACGCCGCGTACACTGCTCCAACGGAGATTATGGGGTTCCCCAGCCCCTTGTCCCGCATTCTCTGTTCTGCAGCCAGTCATTGGCAGCGGCTGTATGTAATTTCAGTTATAAAGAGACTGGGCCACATTCCCCATTACCCAACCTTGTCAGCTCGCCAAGAGCGCCGTCGCTTCGTCGCCGGAGGGTCTACCGCTCGTCGGGCGGCCAAGGCCGCTCCAATGAGAACTCGGCCCGCGTTTGTGTATCGGCAACCCCCTCTTTTCCGGGGCCCTATCTCCAGGTCCCAACAACGCTGTGACTTATCGTCAGGTGATAACGAGACTTTTGCAGGTCCGGCCGGGGCCGGGGTTGTGAGATAGGCGATCCTGATTAACGTGGAATATGAGCACACCGGGCCGGGTGTGCCTTATCTACAAAACACGCTCTAGGCCCCGGAGTGCAATGAATGTATGCTGTATATAGACCTGTATGCGGTAGCTTCGTCCACGGCCCCCGCGTGTGACAGTCCATCGCACGATCGCCACTACGCACTTGGAGTCCGCAAAGAAGCGTAAGACGACATGAATTTTGGCAACCTTGCCTTCACGGCACGCCATGAGCGGACACCAGAGGAGAAGAGCCTTGTCCGAAGGTTAGCTTCTCTCACGCACAAGTTTTGGATTGAGTAGTGTTCTAACGCCGTCAAGGTTGGACATCTTCCTGATGACATTCGGGTGCGTTTCCCAGGGTAAGTTCTGATCACGGATTTGTGACTGGCACTGGACTAAATTAGATCGGTCTACAGTTATCAAGTGTAAGTAACATCGCAATGGGGAGGGGAAGCCCGGCCAATTGACAGGACCGTCAAGACCTCGATCAAACGAACATCAACAACGCCTACGTCTCTGGTATGAAAGAGGATCTGAATCTTTATGGAAATGAATTGAACTAGTCCGTCACATCCTACAACAAACCCTCGGGGTTCCAGCGCTAAACTCTTCATCCCAGCTTCACGACGTACTTCAACATCGCTTACTGCATCATGCTCATCCCCTCGCAAATTATTCTAACCTACGTACGCCCGAGCTATTGGCTGTCTGGTCTCGAAGTCTGTTGGGGCATCATCACGGGCATGTTCGCTCTCGTCAAGAACGCGCAACAGGTCTACGTGCTCCGCGTCCTTATCGGTCTCTGTGAGAGCAGCGCATGGCCGGGTATGATGACGCTGTTGATGTACTGGTACACCCCTTCAGAGCTTGCTAAGCGTATGGGGTTCTACCACTCGTGCCAAGCTGTCGGGTCGATGATGTCTGGCGCGTTGCAGGTTGCGATTCGGAGCTCCATGCATGGATTACACGGTATGACCCAATTTCTTCACGTCCAAGGGCTGTTGGGAGTTTGTGACTAACACTGGAACTGAAGGACTGCCCGGTTGGCGCTGGTTGTTTATCGTTAATGCGATAATGACGATTGTCGTCGGTGCTTTGGGTTTCGTATTGCTGCCCGACACCCCTAACAACCCCAACCCAAGAGCGTTCTGGTTCAAGAAGGGACACGCCCAGCTTGCTATGGAGCGACTGGAACGTCACGGCAAGGCAGAGCCGAAGAAGATGACCTGGACCGCTGCGAAGTACGACGGCCCATGCCCGACTGAGACGCGAAAACTGACTGACTGGCAATAGGCGCGCATTCAAGAGTTGGGTCATCTATTTCATTCCCATCTTGTACATCGCCACGGTACTCGAGTCGTACGGCAACAACTACTTCGGCCTGTTTTTGAAGAGCCTGAAGAACCCCGACGGAAGCCCCAGATGGTCGACTTCGGAGGTAAACGCCATCCCTATTGGGGGAAGTGCGATTAATGTGGTCTTCGGTAAGTTTTCCACTGTCATCGAACCGAACCGGACTAGCAATCGGACTAACGCTCGTCGATAGTCTGGATCTGGGCAATTCTATCCGATCTTTTCATGACGAGATGGACTTTGATCGTCGCCCAGGGTAAGCACTCCCGAGCTCAAATCGTCCGAGGGCCACCACGTATCTAATTCCTGCCACAGGCGTGATCGGCGTCGCCGTCTGCATCGCCATGAGCGTCTGGTCCGCGCACCCCACCACAACACCCCTCGGTGTAGCATACGCATCCAACTTCATCATTTTTACAGCAATGGGTACGGCTCCGTTGATCTTTGCGTGGCTGGCCGACATCCTGCCTCATGACTCCGAGGCAAGGACACTGATCGTCGGCGTGTCCATTGCGGGCTACTACGCAATCTCGGCTTGGTCGCAAGTCCTGGTCTGGCCGGCAATCCAGGCCCCGTACTGTGAGTTTCTGGCCCCCCATAGATTTCAATGCGCCTAGAATCTCACTGTGTACAGACAAATACGCGTGGCAGTCGGCCATTGCCATCGGCGTTCTCGTCATCGCCATGACATGTGTGCTTCGCTATATTGATGTCAAATACCTTGGGTACGTCACCTTCTCTGGTTCGTGTTGAAAGACCTATGCTAACCATTTACATAGGCCGAAGAGGGAGATGTACAGAGCTACAATAATTGAAACGGCGGCCAAAGATGACGGCGAGCTGGCAGGAAGCGCCCAAGATATTGCCGATGGAAAGGTGAAGTCCACGGCGGTAGTGCCGGTCTGAGCTACTGATGCAGTGTGAACTGTAGACAAGATGGTGGCCGGTAAAGTGATGGCCCTCTAGCTACAACCACCATAATACACCTAAATAACATATTCTATCACGCAAACATATCTAACTAACCCTAATCCTAGCCCAAACCCTAACCATCCTAAATAGATGCGTAGGGTTAGTGGTTAGGATGGTTAGGATTGTTAGGATGATAGTCAGGATTTGGGTTGGGTAGATTAGCTCACGGAATAGAACATAGTATTTCCGTCGAGACTAACTGGAGTACGCAAATGACTACGGAGTAACTGGGATAGGTTTAGAGGTCTGTCAATCTACCTGAAGGGGACCTTCAGACCAGCCAAATCCTTGAATTCAAATTTCATAATTTCATGATTTACCCGCATCCCTCTTGTGTAGACCTTCAAGTGAGCATTGGCCAGGCGAGAGCTGCTACTTCGAGGTGGGGCCCGTGCACATAGTGGATCCGGGCTCGGCCGACGGGGCATCAATTCTTCCCGGCGAATGACAGCAGAGGTAATCAATTGCTTCAGAACACCAAGCTTCACCAGTACCGTCCTATCTGGCGAGCCAGACGAACCCCCCCCTTCGAACGAACCCAATTGAGCCAGCACCATGTTGTCGGCATCCAGACGAGCGACGAGCGCCTTGTCGCGGCAGCTCCGCGTTGCCTCGAGACCCTTTTCCGTGTCGACGACGGTCCGCACCACTGAGAGACCCGCCGTCGTCGAGAAGAACGAGGCGGCGACCCCCCAGGTGGCCGACAACACCGTCCCAGCGACCATCAGCCAAGCGCCCAACCGAGCCGTGATCTGGTCGCGCAGCCAGAAACCCCGCGCCGAGGCCATGACCGGCCCTCGATTCGAGCAGACCGACTTCTCCCTCCAGGTGAGACCGCCATGAGGCACTTGACCACCGATATGGCGAGGCGGATTGGGACTGACCCTCATGGACTGCAGCCGCAACCCTACGCAGCGATCGAACTCATTCACCAGGAGCCGGTGCGGTGGACCCACAAGCGCGTCGTCGCATGTGACGGCGGCGGCGGCCCTGCCGGCCACCCTAGAATCTTCATCAACACGGACAAGCCGGAGATCTGCACCTGCAACTACTGCGGTCTTCCCTTTGTATGTTTCTCCGCCCTCCGTGGGCTCGGGCTTGCAACGCCCGCAGGCACGAGTGCGTCACCTAGTCGAGTACGAGCTGACCAGTCGACCAGGCCAACGAGCACCACCGCGAGCACCTCGAGTCCCTTCCCGAGACCTCTTACCCTCTGGCATAAAGGTCCAGTTGTGCCGGTGCACGGGGTCGTAAGGTGGTGGCAGCGTAGGGACGAAATAGAGCGTCACCTTAGGCTGCGCAGCGGGCTCGCGATGTTGTGTATATATAGCAGGATCAGTGCTTCGGATAACCATGTTTACATTTCAACCCGACGGGAATCTCAGTGATATTAGCGCACCGACATGACTAACTGTGTTGAGGCTCCTCTCCCGGAAGCCAGTCTTCAAGTCGTACTATGAACTGCCTGCCGCAGCCGTTGGAGAGTCTATGTTTGCGGAATCAACAAGCCGAACCAGGGTACGTATGGAGGCGCGCAGCCTCTCGTAAGACCTGGCCTTAAATTCCACAGAGCCGGCAAGTAGGATGCTATTGTTTCCGCGGTTGGAGTCTTAACCCATATCCGATCATGGTACATGGCCTTGCTCCGATTCTAACATAATGCTGGCTGGCTGGCTACTTAGCTGGCTTGCTCTAAACCTGGCTACGCGATACGGCTGTGCTTGAATCAACATTGGTTATTCGTGACTTTGCACAACAGCAGGGAATTCTGGCACATAAATATGGCTTGTTTAAACCTTGTATGGGTGCTCTGCGTGGCTCAACAATAAAGCGCCCTGCTTTCGCAGTTCATCTGACCTCACTTTTACCCATCGAACCTGCCCCACCAGATTCGACCGCCCGCATCATTTTCACCTCCCAGCGCCCGTCAAACATGCCCTCAACACCACCACATAACCGCCAACAAACCTCGCAGACGACCACCCTCCTCGTCCTCGGCTTCATCATCATCTGCCTCTTTCCAAATTTGTTCAACTCCCTTTGGCACCTACCCCTCACGCTCCTAGGGTACGCATTCTCCGGCCTCCACAGCGCTTCGACGGCGACCCCACGTCATAGCCCCCCACCAAACTCACACTCAGCGACCATGACGGGCTCCTGGTTCCAGAAGCAGTTCACCCTGCCCGCACGCTCGCGCGGCTCGTACCTCATCACCGACGACGTCGTCGGCGCGCTCCCCGAGCTCAAGAACTACAAGGTCGGCATCCTGCACCTGTTCGTGCAGCATACGAGCTGCGCACTCAGCCTCAACGAGAATTGGGACAGTGATGTCCGAGAAGGTTCGAGCTGGATTGCCCGTAGAGAGCCAGAACATGCACTGAATGATGAGTTAGATATGAGCGATGCGCTGGACCGCATTGCTCCCGAGGCCGGCCCCAAGGGCCAGGAGCTGTACCGCCACAGCGCCGAGGGCCCCGACGACATGCCTGTGAGTGTTCACGTCTCCTCTGCCCCCCCCCAGTGAGCCCCGCGGCGGCTAACGTGATGCAGGCTCACATCAAGAGCGCTCTCATCGGCGCAAGCGTGACCATCCCGATTAAGGATGGCAAGCTGGTAAGTCAGGCAGGACCCCTCCCTCCCGGGACAACGACGCGGCTCACTCGTGACACAGGCGACGGGAACCTGGCAGGGAATTTGGTACCTAGAGTTCAGAGCCAGCAAGCACCAGCGCCGGGTCGTGGCCACCATCCAGGGACAGCCCAAGGCATAAGTTCCAGCAGACAGATGCACACAGTCATAATGACAATCACCTGTTCCGTTTCAAACTGAGGATACCAATTTTGGGTGGTATATAGTCAAACCTATTGTACAGCCACCGGTCTACTATGGCACTTTTTGACCTACGCCGAACGCCTCGCCCAAGCCTTTCCGTGAGATGCCTAACCCCCCCCTTTGCCTGTTAACAGTCGCGGGTTCACTGCTCTCCATTGTCATCCTCCTTGGCCTCCTGCATATCCGTGTCGTCGCCGCTAGCCAAAATCTTTGTCGTGGGCACGTACCCCTCCGGCGCGCTAGAGCCGGGCGTGGCAGCGACGATGTTACCGTTCTCGTCGACGAATTCAAAGTTGTACCTGCTGAGCAGGTGGGGGATCGCCGAAAGCTGGGGGCCGTATCTGGCAGTATTGTCGTAGAGCTCGAAGAGAGGGACGGCGAGGAGCTTCATGTTCTTAGGCACGCTGAGCACTTCTGTCGTTCGGGAAAGGGACGGAAGGTTAGTGAATATGGTTCCAAAGCTGCGTCTTGCTGGCCGCGGCGCCCGCCATGTCGGGAATACGTACTGCTCTTGGGCAACTGGATGAAGTACAGCTTCTTGCACTCCTTGGGCCTGGTGACGTGCGCGGGCACGAAGGGGTACATGAAGGTCTCGAAGTTGGGCCTCCACCACTGCGCCAGGCAGTCGCCAACCTGCCAGTCGGCGGGCTCCTCGCCCTCGCCGATGCGACCGACGGGGGCGAGCCTCTCGTCCAGGCGCGACTTGAAGCCCTCGACCTCGTCGTCTTCGGGACGGAGGTAGTCGCCGGGTAGCTTGAAGAAGGCGTTGGCGATCTGCAGCATCAGGATGTGCGGGTGGTTGTGCTCGTGGCAGACGAGGATGCCCTCGCAGGTGCGGCGCATGCCGTGCTGGTTGTAGTGCTCCTCGAGGCGCTTCAGGCGGGCGATCACCGAGGGGTCCTCCTCGGGCTGCGTCTCCTTGACGCCGAAGGTGTAGTTGGAGAGCGGGTAGAGGCGGATCGTCTCCGGCTGGTTCGAGTTGAAGGCGAGGGGGATGATGGGTGCGTGGCCCGATTGCAGCGCCGTGGTGGTGATTGTCGACATGGTTGCTGCCTTGTTCCGTTGGGATGCGATTGCAAGGTTGCGGGTGGGATTGTTGCTGCTGAGAACTTGTGTCGGATTGCGAAGGGGCGCGTGTGTTGCAGAGGACTCGGGGGCGGGTGGAAGCTCAGGTAACGGAGGTGTCGAAGCTCCACGATTCGACCAGGAGGCAGGGGCTGATTGGGGAAGGCGGTAGGTACCGTCTGGACCCCTGGCTGTCGGTCGGACCCACTCCACCGACTTCCTCACCGAGGTGAGCTGCGAACGATTAGATTGACGACACCCCGATATTGCCATACTTTTCTCAGGCGCAAGAGTGTCTGCTTGCGTCTGCTTCACCGTATATTTCATGCAGAAGTACTTGTCTAGTTTTGTTTTGTCCCATATTCATGTTTTATTTTATACCATATTCATGTTCTATGTCAAGAGGAAAGGGCTAGAAAAAGCATTTAGGTCAATTACATTCTACGATGCACATAATGCCGGGTTTACTGGGGGCATGCCCTGAATTGATAATGGAACGCTTTCTCTTCGTTGAGTAAGAGTTCTGCCTGAATTACACCTTCGCTACAAAGGATGTTCGCCCACATGTGTTCAAGTTGCTAACGTAAAAGAAGAGCACAGCTAATAAAGTCCATGAATGAATGTCACAGAGACATGTCGGTCCATACCTAAGGCTTGTAGGATGAAGTCAAATGAACTAATAACAAAACCTTCTGCCCAAAAGACCCGTTTGAGAATTGCTGCCTCGTTAAGGCAGGAGCACCTGCTTCGCTCACCTTCCCCAACGGAAGAAGGTACGCTCCTCGAGACCTGCCTTTCTATCACACACCTCCCCATTATTTCTCCCTCAGACAACCTACCTACCAAAACAAACCCTCAACACCAACTTCTGTGACTACTAGCTGAGAAGAATCGCCCCCGTCCGGTGTGGCTATCGATAGGCGTATTACTTATCCTGTAAAGCTGGACGCAGGGCGAGAGAGATCCAACTTTTGGTCACCTGAACGATATTCTCTAGAACGTGGCATTGGGCCTGAAATTACTCTTCTACCCTGGTGAGTTATTTGCATCATTTTTCGGCAGCTTGTGCGGCACATGAGGCTGTTGCAGGAACACCCTCCTTATGGCTTCTTCTTCCTCTCTTCACCCCCATCTCTCTGTGGCATTTTCTTGTCTAACCTTCTCAACTGTAACTGATGAAACTTACTGAATTTCAATACTCGACTTCTAGACAAGCGCGAACTCTGTCATCCAAGCTGTGTTGAACATGGCAACAACACATGCTGTGAGCCCTATGGGCCTAGTAGCTCACCAGAAGCTAGAGCTAGCCAAAAATGACAGGGACCCAGCAAAGCTCAGAGAGGTGAATGCTAAGACGACCGAACTGCTTGGCGACATTCGGGTAGCTCTTTCTAGCATTTCCAACTTGAAGCGCGCCGAGAATTGGCGGAAGTCGATTGAGAAGCTCCAGGTCGAGTACAGAATGCCTCGATTTGTCATTGGAGTTTTGGGTGATACCGGGTCAGGAAAAAGCTCACTTATCAACGCGGTCTTGGATGAAGAGCGAGTTGTTCCGACCAGCTGCATGAGAGCCTGTACTGCAGTGATCACTGAGATCTCGTGGAACCAGTCTGAGGATCCCGCCAAGAAGTACCGCGCAGAGATTGAGTTCATCACACAAGCCGAGTGGACGACCGAGGTAACTGCTCTCCACCGCGACATTCTGGATGCCAACGGTGGTCTTTCATCGGACGTTCGTAATGCCGATAGCGACGCCGGTATCGCCTATGCTGTGTTGAAAGCAGTGTATCCCAATCACACCGACGCACAGCTCAGAGACACAGATCCCTTCGTGCTTGCCAACTTCATCAAGGTGCGCGAGGTGATCGGAAAGACGCAGATTGTAGAAGAGGCAGAATGCGGTTCTTTCTATTCAAAGATACAGTCGTTCGTGGACTCGGAGGAGAAGCGCAGCAACAATGGTTCGGAGGCTGCGAGCACCGCGAACACCATCCTCCAGGAAGGAAGGATGGCTTTTTGGCCTCTCATAAAGGTTGTTCGAGTGTTTTTGAAGTCGGAGGTCGTATCCACTGGCGTTGTGCTTGTGGATTTGGTAAGTTTCTCAAGGCGGTTGTTTCAAACCAACTAGCTGACATCTTCCAAGCCTGGCGGCCGTGACTCCAACGCCACTCGCGCAGCCGTTGCCGCGAAGTATGTCAAGGAATGCTCGAGACTCTGGGTTGTTGCACCCATCACTCGCGCCGTAGACGACAAGACGGCCAAGACTCTCTTGGGAGATCACTTCAAGCAGCAGCTCAAGTATGACGGCGCTTATTGCAATATCACATTCGTCTGCACCAAAGCGGATGACATTTCTCTTGATGAGGCTGCGCCAAGTCTCGGCATCGAGGAGTTCATCGCCGAGGAGCAAGAACGGAAGATAAAAATGGAGACGCAAATAAAAGAAAAGGAACAGGCATTGGCCGTTTTGGAGCCCCAGAAGTCGAGCATTCAGGAGAGACTACGAAATGTCAACAGAGACATCGAAACCTGGAACGGACTACGCAAGCAGGTGTCCAAAGGACAGAAGGCTTTTGCCCCCATTCTTTCCCCGCAAAAACGAAAGCGTTCTCTAATTGAGACTGACAAGGAAGCTGCGGCAGCTAAGAAGGTGAAGAAAGAGGTTTTATCGAGCGACACGGATGGTGATACCAGCGATGAGTCAGACCTTGGTGAGAGTGATGACGACGGCTGCGGCGGCGATCAGCCTCAGCCTCTGACTTTAGAGGAAACGCGGAAGAAGCTGGATGAACTCAAGGCCATCAAAAAAGGTATGAAAGAGGAGAAACGAGTTCTGGCTAAACGCGTGTCGCAGCTCAAGGCCGAAATCAAGGACCTCAAGGAGCAACGCTCGGCCATCAAGATCAACATGTACAGGGAGTGTATTAAAGGGCGTAACTCGTACTCTCGGGATGCCATCAAGCAAGACTTCGCCTTTGGCCTCAAAGAGTACGTAATAGTATTCACGCGGTGATGTGCCGCTATTTCTTAACTAAAAAATTTTCAGGTTTGACGAGGAACTCCTTGCGGAACAGCAACAAGATAGCACGCAACAGGTACAAGAAGAGACCCCCGACTACGAACAGATCGGAAGAGACCTCCCTGTCTTCTGTATCAGCAGTCGTGGGTACCAGCAGTTGAGAGGGCGAATGAAGAAGGACCATCGGGTTGTCGGCTTCACCTCGCTCAACGATACGGAGGTCCCGGGTCTTCGTAATCACACCCTACAACTAGCTGCCAGCATTCAGGCCATACACTTCCAACATCATCTCGGCGATATTCGTCGTCTCTTGGGAGCTTTTGACCTTTTCGTTGCGGGTGATGTTGCCAACCTCAAGCTTTCGGATAAGGAGAAGCAGAAGGAGACGGAGAACCTCGAGAAGTCACTCTCAAAGCTTGGAAAGGTTTGTCAATGGCCGCGAACCCGAACCCTGGAACTGCAACTGACAATATCACAGACGCTGGGTGAATCTATCACCCGATGCATGGCGGACTGCCATGCAACTGTGAAGAAAGGCATTCTCAAGAAAATCGTCAGTGGCACCTCCAAGGCTGTTGAGAAGGCCTTATCCACCGCCGAAGACTGGGGTGCCAAATACGATGCTGGCGGTCTCCGCTACATGACCTATAAGGCAACCTGCCGCCGTTTGTAAGTTCGACGATACACGATATAGATAAGATATCAAAGTGTGGCTAATCAACTACAGCGGGGTCTTCAAAGGTTCATCGGGGCCTCGCGACTTCAACGAGGGTGGGTTTGTTTTGTTTGTAAGGCAAGTCGCCGAATATCGCTAATACTCGTTCAGACCTCCTGAAGCCGCTGAAGAACCATACCGCGCATGATTGGGACTCAACGTTCCGCAGTCGCCTTCCAGAGAAGTTGACGACCCTCGCAGCCTCCATGAAACAGCTAATCGGTGGCTTCCATGAGCGGATGAGGGATCGCCGGTTTCTTGTCGAGAACAACGGAGTTATCAACGAGATCCTCACAAAGCTTCTGACTGCGCAGAAGGAGACTCTCATCCACATCAGTAGCGAACAGCTGAAACTGGTGCAGGAATCAGGGAAGGAGGCAAATCGATTATTCGGACCCGCCATTCAGCAGGCTATGTTGCAGGCCTACAATGGATGCGTTGAACAGCGCGGTGAGACGAGATAAACATCCGATTACCAGACATGGGCTCACTAACCCGGAACACAGGCAACGGCTCCTTCATCATCATGAAGGAGATTATGACCACGCACGTCGAATCCACCAAGAACACAATGTTCACGGATGCCGCCAGAGAGATTGAGAAAGCCGTAAACCGCATGCTCAGGGATCTGGAGAAAACAATCAGGGATGACACCAACAGCGTCATCAACGCGATGCAGGAGGACTATATCGGCCTTGTTGGAGAGGTAGCCACCGAGGCCGACAACCGCGCCAGAAAGACCCTGGGTCCTGTGCTCACGGAATTCTACAAGAAGCTCAACGTCGCTTTGACTCCTGCCCCCGAGACAATCGACATTGATATCAAGGGAGAGGCGAGAGATGACGACGAGTATCAATCGGACGACGAGTATCGACCGGACGACGACGACAGCGATTGAAGATGAGTTGGGAATTCTGTGAGATTGAGTGAAGATTCTTTGAGGGCAGATATGATGATGACGAACCGACGGCGGCCTATTTTACTACTTGATTGCTATTACTGTCTTCAACAGTGCGACTGCCTGGCAACGCATAACGAAGCAGATATTGCTTGAATCACTTGCATGACAAAGGGCTAGATAGGTTCCAGATGGGCAACTTGACGCGCTTCGATAGCAGAAACCCCTGTGTGACCATACCAAAGTGAAGGTTTGCCGGCCGCCGGGCGGGGAGATCACGCGATCATCATCAAGCTCCCGCCAAGTCTCCAACGGCATCACGGGAACGCAATAAGACAGAGCACGGCAGCAAGCGGCCGGTGGTGGCTTGAGATCACCACAGGGAACCAACCCAGGATTCCGGGTGGTTGAATAGAGAATCACGAGGCGCATCGAACGAAGGCTCGGCACATTGGCCAAACAGTTCGGCAACTGGGGCCAGCCTCTGCATCGCCGTGGCGCCACACTTACACGTGCAAGGCGTCTGCGACTCACTCTTGCCATGTCTCATCAACCCGGCACCGAACCCCCCGCCTTTTGCCCTTGTCAGTACGGATACACAAGAACCGGACGTTCAGCCTCGGAGCAAGCCTAGGGCAGGACTTGGAAGTGCAGGAACCCGACGCCTATTTAATGTGCGACACCCGAACAGCCCTTGCAGCCAAGACGCGGCACGGCTATACGCACCGCACACACACACAGCTGGACCCGTCACAGCTGGACCCGTTAGTATGACCGTATCATGCAGCGGCGACAGCGGGAGAGCAGGCACCACCGTCAAGGATTTCCCATCGTTCTGGACCTCCCCGTGGCAGGCCAGGCGGAAGAGCGCGAGCGCATCTATGATTCTAGAGGCCGGTCTGGTGTCTCTGTGCACACCGACTACGCTCCGTTCGGAGAGGTTAGTCCGGTTGGTTCCCATTGGCAATGGCTTTGCCTTCGTTGATCTCCTGTCCGACACCGCTGTTGTGATTTCCTCCCCCTCGCGGTCCACCCTCCCGCCCGCGGGCGTCACAGGGGTTGTTGGACTTTGATAATGTCAGGCCCTTCTTCCGCCCCCTTCTTCCCGATGTGCGATGCGAGACCATGATTGGGGACAGAAAGAAAGAGAAAACCGTGACGCCGGGGAGAGTACGTACGTATTGCATCATCGGCCGGGGGCGCCTCGCCCGCAATTTGAGAATTAGGTGTCCCGGGTCGATGGGGAAATCAACGAATGCGAGTCATCGACAAACCCCAGCAAACTTCCTTCCCCGCCGGCCCGCAACGAAATTATTCGACCTCAGCTCCTGCGTTCCCGTGATCACTTGCGGAGCCTTCTGTCACGGGGAGAGAGGGGTTTCCGGAAAGGAAAAAGAAAAAAAAGGAGGAAAAAAAAAACAACCATCGACAACAGCATGGTGGGCTTTTGGAGAAAACGATCACGGGGTTCACGGGGCTCCGGGACCGGTGAAAGGGGGCGGCCAGTCATGCGCCGCCGAGGATGGCCGCGTGACACCACCCTCCCCAGAGACCGGCCTCGGTCAAGGGGGGGATTAGAAGGAAAGAGGAAAGAAACAAGCGAATGCCCCACACGGCGGGGGAGCCAAGGGCGCACCACTTGGCAACACTTGCTCGCCAACCAACAGACCACCAGGGCTGACAGAGCGACATCCCACCCTTTTTTCCTTTCCCAGTTGCGGAACAACGGCCGGGGGGTCTCGGAAACCATGCCTACTATTGAGAGTCAAGTAGGTAGGTAGGTGGTGTGGGTGTAACGCATATCAGATTCGACCGTCATAGCATCTCCACTCCCCCAAGACGACCTTTGACGTGGGCCGACGTTGCAAACTCTTCATTACCCGTAGTGGTGTATACTTGAGCCTTAACCTTGCTCGTCTCCTTCTGCTGGGCGCTGCGCCAAGTAGAGGGGGTTGCGCAGCTTCTGATCCGAAGAAATGAGTTAAACTCGTTCTTCATCAGAAACGAGACCCCGCGTTGTCAGCGAAAGGGAAAAGCTTAAAGCGTCTAGACCTTTAAAAAAAGGTCGGCCGGTCCGGGTTGGCAGGAGCAGACCGATGACTGCAATGATATTATCGGGTATATGCTGTAAGTATGTCGCGCAATGGGCCCAGACCAGCATGCGCATGGAATGCGTGATAATGACAAGTTGCAACACATGTATTTGCCGAATTAAGGCCTGTTGCCGGGTGCCGGGATCGTCTTGTAGTCCCGGGGGCCACAGCAATCGTCATGGGCAGCAGCGATGAGTGCTGACACGACCGGCAGAAGGGTTGACTCTTCTTTTGGGTTTCCTTGGTGGGTTTCCGGTGTTCCTAGCATGATGCTGAACAGGAGGAAGGGGGGGTTGGTTCTGCGGATGGGAGGTTTTTTTCTTGCTCGTTTTCTGGTTTGGTTTTCTGGGAAGCATGTGGATGGAACAGCCAGATGATCGGCAGCCGCACGCGGCGGACCAGTGAGAGACAACCGCAGAAGAAAGAAGCTCGACGAAGATGCATATGAAGGGGTCTTGACATGCATGCATGCATGTGAGCCCCGGCGAAAAGAGGGCAAAGATAACGGTCATGCCGACGAGCGGATGGAGTTTACCTAGGTCCAAGCAAAACCAACCCATATCTAGTGAGTGTACGATGGATCCACCAGTCGGGTTCCGTTTCCAAGGTTTCGCTGTTTCAAAGAGGAGAAAAGAAAGAGGGCGGGAGTCGGGCAATTAGACATGTTCTCCAGGACAACGCTCACGTGCCATCTCCAAGAAGCCATTCGATGGATCGTTCGGTGAGTGTTAAAGCCCCTCTATTGATACCTGAAAGGACACGAGCGCCGCGAGATGCATGGTCACGACGGCAGGCTCCATGTTGTTGTAGGATTCGGTAAGATTTGCTGTTGCACTGGAACCAGGCACGGCGAGGCGAAGCAGTCAGGGCATTGCTGGGTGTTGACTGGAAGGTATGTGAGGTTCGTCGTAGAGAGATAGAGAGAAAGAGGGTGTGTGTGTGTGTGTGTGTGTGTGTGGTTGTCCACTTAACCCCCATGTCTTGGTAACATGATACCCCTCCGTCCCCCCTTCCATGGAGAGAAATAAGATATGCCCACAAATGATGCGGCTAGCAATCGTATGCTGGATATGGAAGGAGATATTGCCAGGACGCATTCATTGCATGCGTAAACGACTTGGGAAACAACCGAAAATATGATCCTTGCACAGTCCTCACTTTCTCCCCTGTACGGAGTACAGTACCTAGGTACACTAAATGGCCTCTTCGATCTTGGCTCTTTCTTGGTCTCAGAAGGGAGGGGGGGCAAGGAGGAAGGAGGAGAGAGGAGGGGCCGCCCGTGCCTTCCTTGGCAAGCCAATGCCGGTACGTATCGTACACTATCCGTACTCTGTACGGAGTACCAATAATACCTATCACCACCTGCCTTACCGCGCCCACCCCCGAGTTTCCATCGGCAACCCCCGTGCCCTTCCCCCCCAAAAAAACATGCCATTGGAGTCGCAGCGAGTCTTCGATGGTGAACCATGCATCTGACCCAAAGTCCAGACAGTGGGGATCGGGGACACCATCTTTAGGGTGTTCTAGGCCTCCCCCCTCCCACCATCCCACTGCATCCCAGGTACCGGCCGCGTCGTATCGCTAATGTACACAACCGTCGTATGTGAGGCGTAGAGATACCCGCACCGTCCTGCACCGCCGAAAAAAATAAACCCACATCGCACATCGGCCAACTTGGACCGACCACACATACTCTCACACACACACACACACACACACAAACACACACACACACACATTCTCAGTCCGGTCTGTGCAAACTCCCGCAGTTTTGCCCTGTTTTTATTTTATTTTATTTTATCACCCTCCATCTTGCCATACCTCTCCGGCCGTGCTTAGATCGACCTGACCTGTCTCGATCTGCCCGGATCTTGCCCTATTCGAGTCTTGTCTCGTTCACACCCCCGGGCCCTCGACCTGATCACCCATCCGCGGAGAAAACACAACAAGAGACATTGAGGGGAGACAAGACAGTCAGAGAAACATCCCAGCCCCGTTTCAATTCACGCAATTCGAGCCTCTCATTTCTTCCCGCCGTACAGCCGCCCACCCCCAACCCTGTACTGTACGCCCCTACCTTGTCTGCATCTTTGGTCTGGCCGCAACCGTAAATCGAACAAACATTGGACGCCGCCGACCAATTCGCCGCGACGGGCCCCTTTCCCTCAAACGTCCTGCGTCATGCCCAGGAACCCATTGGCCCACCACCACCTGCTCGCCCCGATCCCCAAACCCTCGCTCACCTGCCTCCCCTAGTCGCCGCTGCCGCTACCGCTGTCAAGTCACTGTGTTACTTACTGCCTCTGCCGCCTTCCAGCGACAGACATGGTGGACATGGGCGATGCCACGAGGCTCATTGGAGACCTGCATCAGAAGCTAGCCGACCTCGACCATAAGGTTGCAGCCTACCGCCAAGACATGGCCGCCGAGTTCTATAGATACTCGCACCAACTTCTCAAAAACGTCCCACACGACCTATCGGCCGAGGTCGATCGCGCTGTCGCCGCCTCCTTCGACAACTATCCCGCGCTGCGTCCCGCCCTCGTCTCACCACGAGACTCACTTGACTCACCGCCACCGCCGCCTACTACCCATCACGCCGGTAACCTCGCCGAAACCCATAGCAACCCCGGTGCGCCCCGCCATCCTCCTCCGTCGCCGTCTCCCAAGTCCACCCCTCCATCCGTTCTCCCCCATGCCGGTACTGCTGTCCTGACCTCTCCCGACACCGCCTACGACCGGGAAAGGGATAGGGATTTCCACGGTCTCTTCACTCCGAGCTATCTGCCCCTGCTCGACGGCTCACACATGTCGCCAGCACCAGCAAACCCCTCGCCAACCCTCTCGCCGACGCCCAAGCCTGCCACCGACGACGACATGGGTCGGTACAAGTCCGGACAGCCGGGGGGGTTGCAGCCTGCGGTTCAGCTGTCTGCTGCCGCAACCCAGACGCCCGGCCGACCGAACCACGAACGCCGTGCGACTGACGACACGACCTCCTCTTGCGCATCGGAGCAGAGTGATTCCAAGGTGCGCCGCAGCGCCCTACGCAGGGCCTCGACCGGATCCAAGCCCCCGCCCAGTCCCAGGCGAGTGCGTTTCGAGTTCGAGGGGGTAGAGGTGCTGCCTACAGCTTCGCCCCATTCGTCAGAGCCGTCGCTGGTGCTTTCGCACACGCTCGCCAACTCAAGGTCACCCCCTCCGCCGGAAGATGACCCAATGAGTGTCGAGTCCATACTGGGCCCCGACGAGGACAGCGGGCCGCCCCCCAAGAAGGTGTCTTCCTCCCAGGCCCTTCGTGCCCTGTCTCGCGCCCCTCTGGATTCGAACACTGTCTGGACCGTTGTAAACCCCGATGCCCTGGAGAGGGAGAATGGAAGCATGGCGACGTCGGACTCCGAGACCTCATTGCAAATGAACGATACCCCCCAGTCTGCACCCAAGCCGCAACCCCCCCAAAAAACCACTGCGTTAGAGCACGAACCAACCCCGGAGACCTCGAGCCGCCCCTCTCTAGCGGCGGTAGACAGGCAGAGGGACTACAACACAGACGAAGACGGCGACAGCTCCTCTGATGACGAATTCCTAGCCATGGCCAAGCCAAAGTCCTTTGCTAACAAGAAAGCCATCCTTTCACCACTCTCACGCTCACCGACAAGAATGGCGCCCGTCCTGTATAGCCCGACCCAGGACAAGACAGGGTCGCACAACGAAATCAAGTCGCCTATAGAGCAAAGGGACTCGGACTCGGATGACGATGGTGAGGAGCTGTTTCACTTTGAGGGACTCAGTGCGCCCCCAAAACCTCGTTCTCGGCCGCCGCCAATTCAGGAGGAGGACGAAGATGAGGACGAGGGTGACGAAAAGAATGATACGAACGAGCCGGTGGCGCCAAAATTGTATTCGACGTCGCCTGCTGTATCGATCCCCAGGGCGCCAGAGCCGGCGATCCCTGCGCACCTAATTTCAGGCTCGGTGGGTTCGTTCAAAGGCCGCCCTGTCACGATGCCGATTGTCAAAAACCCCGACGTCTACCAGCAAGCGGCCTCACTCGGCGATGTCAATACCTTTATCGGAGGGTTGGACGGGAGCAGCGGTGTCGATGACGGCGACCTGAACAGCTATCGTGCCAGCATTGGGCAGGTGCTGTTCTCCGGGACGCCCCGAAGCTTGACGGAACGGATGATGATGGAAGAAGCACACAGCCAGATACGGGCAGCAGCGCGGCGTCCGCACTAATAAGCGGCGTACCGCAGCGTAAACAACAACTTTCATGTATATGATACGGGTATGGGCCATGGTTAGAGGCTCAGAAGTCTGTACATAGATCATGCTTTGGCGTTCAGAGGCATTGTGGCGGGGCAACTGGGTGGTACGGCATGTTGAGGCATTGGACGGTACGGTTTGGGGAGTCTTGGCTGGCGGGAGGAAATCATCATTCGTACATGGCATACAGGTCTGCATCATAGTTTTTTCTTTTCTTTTTCAAAAACAAGTAAATCAACGGTTAATGGGCCAGAGGGAGAGAGAGAGAGGATCGCTTGGCAATATCGTGATGGTCAGTTGCGGATGTAGTCGTACCACACATACACACTGACAAGTTGTCGTCGGCTGTCCCATCGGGCTCAGTCAGCTCGGGGTGTGCGTGACCCCACACCAAACCCCGGAGCACGTGGAAAAAACCTGCGCCGAGCCTCCGGGCTGCCCATCTAATGGAACTGTGCTCCGCCTGGGGTGCGTCCAATCACGTAGGTGATTCTTCGGTCGGTGGCATGCAGTGGGCGGCGAAGAGCTACCATCTCAATCCGACGTTGCAAAACGTCCAATGCCATCTCCATCGTCATTGATTCAAACGAAGCACAATAGCAACCACCACCCACAACGAGCTAGCGCAACGCATCCAATATGGGCGGTCTCAATCTCGAAGTCTTCAAGGTACGGGGTGCTCTTCCTTTTTTTCTTCTTCTTCCCTACTTTCTCTCCCGGGTGGCATTACCACCTGCGGGCGAACATGGTATTTGAGGACCATGTGGGCTGATCTCTAATGCTCCGGGCGCGTAGTTCGGCATGTATGTCATGTTCCCGATCGGCGTCATGTACTACTTTGGCACGAACCTCGACAACCGCTTCGCGGTGCCCGAATTCTGGCCCAAGGCGGAGCACTCGCACAAGATCCCGTTCGACCGCGACGAGATCAAGTCCGAGTACGTGCGGCTGGCGAGGCGGCAGCGGGCCCTGGACGAGATGCGAAGGGAGAGGGAGGCGGCGCAGGCGGCGCAGAACCCGCCCCCGTCGAACGAGCAGCAGTCGTGAGGATAAGGGCGCTGTATCCGTGACGGCGGAGGGAGTGTCGGGGGACCTGGCACGAGACCCGGCGAGCCCGAGCGAGCGAGCATTCTGCGATGCGTTTGGTTCTGCCACACTGGGGTGCCGGAGGAGGCGGTTGAGTGAGGGCCGTGCCGCGAGGGAGGTGCGCACGCGCGCGCTGTATCATATTGGGCGTTTGGCGGTCGAAAAACATAACATCATCTGGCTCTGGGAAACTGTCGTGCGATGGACGCGGCGATTTGGGCAGAAGAAGGGGGAGGGCCCTTGTTGTTAGGGGTTGGGTTATCCCCAGACTCTCCGGCCGAACCCAGGCACCGCCCCTCTCGGAGCTGCCATTGCGCGGTTGTATTATTTATCTGTTTCTACAATTTGTACAACAAAAGGGAGGAGGGAGGGGGAAGAAGGGCCCCGACGATACTGCTCGTCCCAATATCCAACATCTCATTATATCCGAGGCTGGTTGTTACCCTACCCCTTAGGAGTCCAGGTTCTCCTCGATCCTGGCCCATTCCTCCTCGGGTATGTTCCCCCTGGAGGGGTTACCGTACATGGCCTGCACCTCGGGGAGCTCCTGCAGCGCGGCTAGCAGGCCACCGAGGGTCGAGGCCTCTGGCCCCTCGTCGAGCTTGACCTTGGTGTCCTCGTTGGCTGACCAGATGATGTCGGAGCCGAGCAGCTTCAGCTCGAACTTGGGGCCCACGCCGCTGATGACCGCGTTGGTCATGTTGGGCTGCGTCCAGACGACGAGATTGCCCTCGTCGTCGGTCTCCAGGTCCTCGGCGCCCGCCTCGATGGCGTCGTCCATGATGTCGTCGATGCCCGGCCCGCCCTCCCTGGCCTCGAAGACGACCCGGCCGAGGCGCGTGAAGAAGAAGGACGCCGTGTTGGCCACGCCCTTGTGCTTCTTGATCAGCGCCTTGAGTTCCTGCAGGCTGCGGGCCTTGCTCTCCGTCTCGGCCTCGATGATGAGGGCGACGCCGGGAGGCAGGATGGCCTCGAGGGTCAGCGTCTCGAGTGAGGCGCCCGAGGCGGTCTGCCCCTGGCCGCGGGCTATCGCAGAGTCAATCAGGTTCTTGGGGACGCCGGCTGGCGGTGGGTGATTGCGGTTAGGCCATGTTTTATGTGGTTTCGAATTGGGAGGCCAGGTACCTTTCTTTGCGTTCGCAACCGCCGCGGCTAGTTGAGGATTGTCGATCGTCCCGTATACTACATGAGGAGAGGCTTGTATGTCAGCCTTCGGATGCGCTCGCTTCAGTGATGCCAGAGCAGTGAGAGAGGGGCGGGGGGCGCACGTCGTGACCAGTGCGCGATCGTCTTGGAGTGCTGGCTGCGCGTGCTATTCTTCTGCGCATCCGTGGTGCCCTTCTTATGCTTGATCTTGGACCACTTGTTATGCCCGCTCGCCGCGACGGCCGTCGTCGATAGCGGACGAAGACATTTGTGCCAGAAGACGGGCTGGGCTCGAGGTCTGGAAGCGGCGGTGATGCTCGATGCGATGCTCCTAAAGCAGCCTGAGGCGAGCGGGCGCATGGCGACGGTGGATAGGCAGGATGTGCGATAAAGGGTCTCGGGAGCGGTACATAATCCGTGTCTGGAATTTCGGCGGCGAGGGAATTGGAGCTTCAAGGGCCTCCTCTGCTTAGGTCATTCATGTCATGTCTCTGCCGGGTCATTCTATGTGGCATGGACGGCCGTGACTGGGAGCTCGGAGCTTCAAATTTAAATGGGCTGAGCGGGAGTGGCTGATGTGTGGCTCGTTGTTAGGTCACAGCGCACCCGTCACACCGGGCTTAATGGGCTCTCCCCCCCCCCCCCCCCCCTTAGAGCTTGGGCTTATCCGCAGAGGGGCCAGCTGCCCCTAATTGCCTGGGCTTACCTTAAATCGTCCCGTACCTGACTGCATGCCTGTCATGTTCCTCAACCTGTCCCGAATGTCATATCCCGCCCACCTTTCAACAACACATCCGACGAACGGGACAAAATCACTGCTCGACATCACAACCAACCCGTGTGTGCGCTCGACGGCGTAATCACTCATATACGCATCCCCGCCGTCTCCCATGTCGTCGATAGGAGCCCCCAATGGCTCCAATGGGGACCCCGCGCAAACAGCGAGATCAGCAGCACCGTCGCCCAGACCGTCGACATCTGCATCTGGGCTACCGCCACGGCCAGCTTCAGCTTCCCCCTTCGCCTCCGCTGCCGCGGACTCGTTAGCGACCACAACCCCCGAGCTCGATGTATCCAAGCTTCAATCCCTCCCCGCCGAACAGCAGGAGCTCTTTCTCCTGACCTTTGTCTCGACCCTGTCCAAGCATGTTCTCAGCCTCCCCGCCGACGACTGCACTGCCCAGCAGTTCTACCTCAAGAAGGAGATCTTCCAGATCATCAACCTGCCCTCGCCGCAGCCGAGCCGTGTCGTCAGAAATAACCTCGGTAAGTGCCTCGCCCACATCTTCGGCCACGGCGACAGGAAGCTTCTCTTCGAGACCATCAACGACCTCGTCGGCATCATTTCCGGCGCCAAGTCCAAGACCGATACCGGCCCCCGTACGAAGCATGCCGCCGTTGTGTGTTTGGGAGATGTGTATTCCTCCGCTGGCGACAGCGCCATCGGCCTGCATCAGCTGGTCTGCGCTACCCTCGTCAAGCTGCTCAAGTCGTCGTCCAACAACGCCGGTCTCCGTGCCGCCGTCTTCGGGTCCCTGAGCAAGGTCGTCAAGATGGTGGAGGGAAGCGTGGACGAGAACGTCGCCAGAGACATCTTTAAGCAGTCGCGCAGCTTCGCCACGAGCGACAAGGGCTCGCTGGTCGTCGTGTCGGCGTGCCGCTGCCTGAGAGCGCTGGTTCGGCATACGGCCTACTTTGAGAACTCGAGCGACTTTGAGAAGCTCCAGGCCGCCATTTTCAAGGTCATGGACTCGAACTCGTCGCAGGTGAGACATGCCGCTGCGGAAGCTCTCGCCGAGGCCATGGTGCGGGGGTACTCTGAGACGGGTGTCGCGGACGGAGCCGCCCCGCTGGCTTCGAAGGCGTCCAAGAGATTCTCAAAGAAACCCCCCAAGCGCACGGGGACCCAAGCCAGCATGGTCGCGGACGAGGACGACCTGCCAATGTCACGGCCCGGCAGCCCCGCGCCGGGCGGGAAAAGGACGCAGGACCTCGCGCTCTCGCTCACAGATATCCTTAAGGTTCTGTCTACGCAATACATCAAAATGCCGACATCAAACAAGGCGAGGGCGGCCATCGGTGTCTGCTACGGCAAGGTCCTTCGGAAGCTTGGTGAGAAGACGGTTGAGACAAACTACCTCAGGATTCTCGAGAACCTGACCGTGGACTTGCTGGGGCACCCCAATATTTTCAACAATCGGTACCGTCTTCTCATTTCGAGGCGCATCGTCGACACGATCCTCCAGGAGATCATCGGCAAGAAGATCCTGGGCGAGTCTGGTCAGACGACAGCGGCCAAGTCAATCATCAGTGACGTACTTAAGAACTATCCTCAGGCTCTGACTGAGCGCCCGGAGCCGTCGAAGCACGCCCTTATTGCGGCCCTTGGCGCGGCGTCGTCGCTGGTCAACGACCTGGGTTCTGCGGCGAACAATTTTGCAGAGTCCTGCCGAGACGGTCTCCTCCAGGTCCTGCAGCACCCCAGCTACTCGGTCCAGGTCCATGCTTCGGCATGTATGAAGGCCTTCGTCCTAGCCTGCCCGCAGCAGCTCCTTCCATGCTTGTCTGTGTGCATGAACAGCCTGAGCCGCGAGCTGTCACTGCTCACGAGCGGGCGAAACTCTCCGCGACGATGTGTTGGGTTTGCCCATGGCCTGGCGGCAACGCTCAGCGCCAGCCCCGCGCGGCCTTTACATGGCTCTGTTGACATCAACAGCCGCGTCTTGACCATGGCTACGAACCTGCTGAAGTCGAGTGGGCAGTCTGAGCTGAGAGTCTCGAGCACACAGATCCAGGTCGCGTGGATCCTGATCGGAGGTCTGATGTCCCTTGGGCCCAACTTTGTCAAGATTCACCTTTCACAACTGCTTCTGCTTTGGAAGAACGCGCTACCGAAGCCGCTATCGAAAGACAACACCGCGCACCGGAGCTTCCTGGAGGCTTCGTTCCTGACGCATGTCAGGGAATGCGCTTTGGGATCCATCCTGTCATTCCTGCAGTTTAACAACCGACTCTTGACGGTTGACGTTTCCAAACGCATAGCCACGATGCTCCAGAACACGTCGGCCTTCTTGAAAACACTGCCCTCGAAGAAGATCACCGACGACGTGGCGCAGAGACTGACGCCGGCCTTGCAGCTGCATGATCTTGACATGATGGTCCAGCGCCGCGTTCTTCAGTGCTACATCAAGCTGGTCAACCTCAGTCCGGCCGGCGGCAGTGAGGCCCTGCTCCAGTCCAACCTTCTCACGATCGCCATATCACTCTTCGCGGACCCGGAAAACTACTCGGCCAACTCCCTCAGCGCGTCCATCGCGAATGCTGCAGCTACGTTCGAGACTGTCTGGGACGTGGGCGACAATTCGGGATTCGGCATCACTGGACTGATTTCTGGTTTCAAGATCAAGGGCCTGCCGGGACAGCAGGATAACTTGATAGAAGGAACGCCGGTAGAGACGGACAGTCCCGAGGAGGCGATAGACAGACTGTTGTTGTCGCCAGTGTGCGGCTCCCTGGAACACGACGCATCTCTCCTGTACGTTAGCGACACCGTCTCGGAGCCGACGAACCCCGATCCCCCGGCCACCGAGGTCATCAACATGGCCATTCAATTGTTCGCCTTCGTCTTCCCCCTCACGCCTCCCAAGGTACAAGAGAGCGTTCTGGAACAGGTCAGGACGTTCATGTCGGCGGGCACCCTGCTGAGAGATCCTGGAAGGAAGGCAGCCATCAATGTCAACGTTTCCGTCGCGGTTCTGTCGACGCTGCGCGTGGCCGTCAGGGAGACCCAGTCGTCTCCAGGCAATGTCACGAACCTTGCCGTGGAGAGGCTTCTACAGGACATGCTGAGAGACTTCGTCATTGACGGGGATCAGTATGTCCGGAGTGTCGGTTATGCTGCCGTGGCGAGACTCTGCAATGCTTGCGGCAACGCCTTCACCAACCACGAAATCAAGTACCTCGTCGACACCATCGTGAGCAACCGCGAGCCGAGCGCCCGCGCGGGTTGCGCCATGGCGCTAGGTTCCATCCAAACCAAGGTCGGCGGTATGGCCGCGGGCTACCACTTGAAGACGATTCTCGGCATCTTGATGTCCCTGTGCAACGACCCCCACCCTACTGTTCACTTTTGGGCGCTGGAGGCGCTGGCTTTGGCATCGGATGCTGCTGGTCTGAGTTTCGCGGGGTACGTGCCCAGCACGCTCGGAATGCTGGCCCAGCTGTATGTCTCCGATACGCACCACCCAGAGATCTCGTCCGCGATCACTATGAACCTTGAGATGGAGTTGTCGACTCCAGCAGCCATCACGCGATGCGTCGACTCCCTTATCAACGTGCTCGGCCCTGACTTGCAAGATTCCACCAAGTCACGGGAGCTTATCCTCAACCTTGTCAACCAGCTACAAGAAGAGGACGACTTGCTGGTGCAACGAGCCACTTTGAGCTGTCTCGAGCACCTGTCCTTATACGCACCTGGCTACATGAACTTTGAGGAGTACGTCAGGCTGCTACAGAAGTACCTCAGGTCAGAGTACCCTATATTGCGCGACGTTGCCGTCGACGGCTTATACAACATTATGAAGAGGGACCCCAATGACGTGATCAATGCCGCAGAGAAGGGTCTCGAGGACCAGCTGTGGCTGGTCCTGGACACTGCACCGACACATGACGGTATCAGAAACATCATCAGGAACTGGATGCGCCAGACGTGTCTAACTGACACTGCTCTGTGGCTTCAAAGGTTCCAGAACGTACTGAAAATGACTAGGGCCAAGGCGAAGGAAGAGTCGGACGCCGCGACCAAGAAGTCGGGTGGAATGCCCGATCTGCAAGACGAAGAAGTCGCTGGCTTCGCCGGCACTGCTAAAGACGACCCAGACAACAAGGCCGCGTCTGAGGTCGAGCCTCTGCGATGGCAGGTGACGACATTTGCCATTAGCTGCATCAATGACATGTTCGCCCTCATCGCGAAGGATGTGATGACGAACGGTGAGTCCGCCGCTCAGCTGGCGCTTCAGAACAAGATTGGCGATGTTGTCCGCATGGCCTTCTCCGCATCTACGTCTAGTGTCCTGGAGCTGCGCGTGTGGGGCCTCAAGATCATCGGAGCAGTCCTCAAGATGTTTGGGAGGACACCGGACCCAGACTTTGACGAGGCCATGCTTCTGGAGCAGTACCAAGCCCAAATCAGCTCGGCGCTCACGCCCGCCTTTGCTGCGGACTCGTCCCCCGAGCTGGCTTCTGAAGCGGTCAATGTCTGCGCTGGCTTCATCTCGACGGGCATCGTCACGGATATCGACAGGATGGGCCGCATCCTCAAGACCCTGGTTTCCGCGCTCGAGAACTTCTCCAAGGAGGATGAGAACGTCGGGATCGGTGATCTCAAGGGTCTTAGCTCCAACGCCCAAGTCATGGTCAAGATGTCGGTGTTTTCGGCTTGGGCGGAGCTGCAGGTCGCCAGCTCCGAGCAGAAGTACCTGCTCGACGTGTTGAAGCCGCACATTGGAACGTTGACGCCGTTGTGGCTCGAGTCTCTACGGGAATTTGCTCGCCTGCGCTTCGAACCCGACATCTCGATGACGCTGGGGCCCCCGTCGCTGTCCGGTAGTCTCGACACCATCTATGCGGCGCTGAACCGGGAGACTCTGCTCAAGTTCTACCAAGAGTCGTGGCTCAAGCTCGTCGACGCCATTGCCAGCCTGATTGAGCAAGACAGCGAGTTCGTCTTTGACGCCCTGGACGGGAAGGAGTCTGAAGGGCTGAGCACCAACGGTCACACCAAGGGCCCTGACATCAACTACCGTGACGAGCCCGTCGCATTCTTCTTCGTTCTCTTTGGTATCGCGTTCGAGGCCTTGGCCACGCGTCCGGGCCAGAGCGACTCGCTGGCTACCCAAGAGCAGAACCTTGCCATCCTGCAGGCCCTCAAGAAGATCCTCCACCCCAGCGTGTCCGGCCATGCCATCTACAGAGAAGCCATCTTCTCGGAGACCATGGACCTGCTCGACCGGCTGGTGTTGACGGAGGGGCTCGACGTTCAAGGCGTCATTGTCGAGATCGCGAGGGCGCTTTGCGTCTCACACCCGTCGGCCCGCAAGAAGGACTCTGGCGACGACGGCGACCTTTCCGACGATATCGACCAGCTGTTCGAGCTCACGCGCATCATCGTCCTCGTGCTCGCGGGCCTCCTGCCCAACCTCACCGAGGCGAACCAGCCCGTCCGCCACCAGATGACGGAAGAGGCCATACTGCTCATTCGATCGTCACTGAACGCGCTCGTCGACGCGGCTGAGGTCTTCCCCTCCATCATCAAGACGGACCTCCATGCCTGCATCATCCATATCCTGGCCACCATCCTCGCGACCCCGGGGTGCCAGGAGGTGATTGTGCCCCAGTCCCTGCCCACGCTCAAGCGCTTTGTTGGGAGCATGACGAAATCCCGCAGGTCAGGTAGCGGCGGCGAGGACGGCAAGGGGCCGTCACCCACGGATATCCAACTGCAGGGCTGCCTGCGCCGATTGCTTTCCATCTACCTCAACGCCCAGAAGCGCGAGGTGCCAACGTCCCTCATCTGCGTCAAGAACTGCCTGCTGGCGAGCACCATCCTGTTCACGGGCGGCACGAACCACCTGGCGGCGAACGATCCTCTGGTGGCGAGATACCTCGACGAGGTGATCGACTGCCTCTCAGATCGCATGGTATGTGACTTATTCGAGTGCGGGAGAGTTTTCCTGTTATTATGGACTGACACTGCAACAGACCGCCAAAATCGCAGCAAACTGCATCAGGTCCCTCCTGCTGCAAGCCAAACCGACACCGGCAGACTATACCATCGCGCGCTATCTGCTTCCGCGCCTCGTCGCCTTCGTCTCCAACACGGCGTCGGAGGACCCGGAGAACGCACGGTCCATGATTGCGCACTCGCTCAGTCAGTACGTGGGCACCGTGCCGCGGGACCGCGTCCCCGTCGCCATGGCGCTCGTGCTGCCCACCTTGCTGACGCGCGCGTCGTCGGAGGGCGAGGACTGCTACCGGGATACATCGGCGAGGCTGCTGGAGCTCGCTGCGGTCGACCAGAACGCGTTCCGCACCGTCGTCGCCGGGCTCAACGAGGGGCAGAGGGCGTTCCTCGAGGAGGTGATCCGGTGGGGCAGGCAGCAGGGGCAGGCGGAGCCGACCGAGGCCGAGGCGTCGGGCCAGCCGACCATCGCGCTGAAGATGAACTTTGGGGGGTGAGGACCGTGGCCTAGTATCATGATGATTGGGGGGGCAGAGGAGAAGAGATGGGATATCATGAGAAGGATGATGCCGGGAAATGAGAGCGAGCGGCCTGCGGGCACTCTCTGTATGTCTGTATGAGATGACGGGCCGTAGACAGAAGTAGAGAAAATCACAACACGCAGAAAGTTCCGTTTAGTTCGCCCGTTCGTGCCACCTTTGCGACTTTTACGGTGCGAGGACTGCCTTTTCGACCGCCAGCGCAGGAGCGAGAGGCTCAGAGGGCCTGGTCTCGTGTCTTTCGACGCGTGTCGTGTAAGCCGATTCATCCAGCCCTGTTCAACCTGGCCGGGCGAGGTGGTACAGAAAACTGCTTGGATCAAGCGTTGGGGATGCGTGCCAGTGGCGACGAGATCCGGCGCAAAGGCCGCGGCGCGGTGTCTTGGCCCCGACGCGCTCGAGAAGAACAAGGTCAAGGATGGGGGGTACTTCTTTCGTGGACGGAATAAGTCAAATGCTTTGATATTTCGTGTCGTTCACTCGATTATTCCGGGTTCCCCTGGGACTACCCCAAAGCCCCTTTATACATTTCTACTTGGCCACAACAGTGAGAGTAGTTGCGCTATTTTTTTCGACAATAGGGTCACACACGCTCTATCGGGACCGGATGTGTGTCCACGACTGTATGGTGGGCATGTTTCCGCCGGCATATGACTCCTTGGACGGATGTCAAGACCGGAGTGATGCGGCCCAGGCTATCTATGCCATCGTCTCCAGGGCTGAACCAGCAGGTCAAACTGGGATGAGCCGTGATTGACATTTTACCGAATGCCCATCTTCCCGCTCGGAGACAATCACCAACAGTTATAAGCCCGCGCCATGTATTATCCCATTGGACTCCCTTTGTTCGGCCCGCCATTCTCCATATGGAATTCGAGTAGCTGGCTTGCTTGATGCAATTCATTTTTCGTTACGGCTTCCTGCCTACACGCGCACCATAGCTGCTGACTCGAAGAGCCGAGCCGTGATCTTGTGGTCTGTTGCGCTCATCTGCCGTTGATTAGGGGGCTTCGGAGTTCGGACTAAAGGCTGCGAGCAGCGTTACCGACTATATGTCGTGTCGGCTATCGTTCAGACCGCATCGTTTGACTCGCTAGGGTTCGGGTAAGGGCAAGAATCGCAGCCGATGGTAATGGCAAAGAGACTTGTGTTCACCGGATGATACTTGACTGGCGGAGGGCCTTGACATCATGTCGAAGTTCAACGAACATGTTCAGCCTTGTTTGGGCCCGAGAGGCCCGCTGAATCCCCCTCTTTGCAGTTGATCCCGAGGTTTTTGCAGGGATCTCAACTCCCAGGAACTAACAATACCTCGTCGGATGCCTGATAAAGGTGCAATGGCGATATCCTCTCCTGATGCCGGCCCTTTACGTGAGTCTGACTCGGGTAGTCGGTACAGAACGCTAACTGTGCCCCTGGGTGCACCAGCTGCTGCTACCTGCGGACAACCGGAGGCCCAAAGGAGAGCCGTCGGTAGCTAAAAAGCTGGTGCTGGCCTACAAACGGGCTGGTTGAGGGGGGTGATGGGTAGCGATAATTCAGACGCTGGAATGTCGACGCCGCAATCGATCATGTTCTTTTGAAGGAGAATGTGTCATCCACTTCTGACATGTCTAGGCCAGACAGATCCTCATCGAAGCCGTCCAGTGCAGGGGTGGACAGCTGAGTTTCATCTCTGCCCGTGGTCATGGTCAGATCACCGCGTTGCGCGTCCTGCCAGGGAGCCACCGAGTCCTCGGGATCCGCAAGGCACGCCATGATGCGGTACTTGTTATCCCCCAGCAGGAGGACAGCGGCGTCTCCGGTCCAGTCAAGCCACGAGACCTGCGGTTTTCCCAGGACTTTTGCCTCCGGTAACTGTCCGCCAAAGTCCACAGTCTTGGGGCCATCGGAGAGCGGGTCCCAGACGAACGCAAGGCCTGCATAGCTATCTCCTTCGCACGTCACCACGAGCACCTCTCGATGAGTCGGATGCCAGCAGAAGGCAGACACGTTGCCGTGGAAGAGCAGGACGGCTCGGAGTTCGGATGACGCCAGATCCCAAACCCAAACAGTGCTTGGCCAGTCCTCCAACGTTGTGGCTAGGAGACTCGATGACGCATCAAACAGGGCAAGGGTCCGGGCTGGCTTTGCGTCGGTACTTCCGTTGTTCGTCCGGCCGGGAGCGGATACGGCTTGGGTGGCTCTCGAGAAGGAACGTTGCGGACCCGGCTGGCCGGTGCCGATTTGTTCTTGCCAGATCTGCACTCCTGATATCAGTATAAAGAGCCGTCTCCATAGCAGGCCGTGTCACTTTACCTGAATAGTCTCCGTCGGAGTGATAGCTACGGGGTGATCGAGCCTCATCGATTCGGCGACAGTGTTGGTGTCCAGAACGCGAACGCTGCGGGTGTGATCGCACACGGCAAGGCGGGCACCATCCGGACTGAGTTGGCAGGCCTTCACGCCGGCGCCGAGTTCGTAATGCTGATCCTCCGCTTCTATAGACGAGGGGCCCGACCACGTCTTGAAGAGGTGGCCGTCAGGAGTGTAAAACAAAATCTTATGCCCCTGGGCTGCAGACTCCCAGATGACGAGCCAGCGGCCGTCGGGGGTCCAGGTCAGGGCTTGGGCGTCGGCAGTGTCGGGCTGCCAGGAACGAAGGACCCCTCTCGTTTTGGGGTGGTGGATGCTGACGATGTCTTTGCCAGCCACTCTGGTGAGGATGGCCAGATGGCTTGAATCGGGCCTCAGGGCGAAGCCCCGCGAGGCAGCCGCAGCTTGGTAAAACTTTGGGTTGGTGATCTCGACTGTTGACGATGCTGCCAGGTCAAAGATGGAGAACTTGAGTCCGTAGGAGGAGCACATGAAGACTTCGGCATCTGACGAGCCGAACTGGACAAAAGTCGGCTTCAAGTTGGGGGTTGCCGGGTTCCTGATGACGGCATGGTAGCCCGGGGCCGAAGCTGCGTAGACGCGGATCTCCTCGGCAAAGCAGGCTAGGATTCGTCGGGAACAAGGCGACCATCGCAGAGCGTAGGCCGGGCCGAGTTTGGGGGACACCTTAACACTATGAATCGTCTCCAAGGTTTCGACAGATCGCACGGTGATGCTGGTTGGGGACAGGGTTGCAATCAGGTTGCCATCAGGACTCGACGCGCAGTGCGGCGATGCTGGCAAAGGTCAGTTCAGACTCTCCGTACGGGTTGGGTTCGGCGTCATGGCAGTGTGCCTTATCTCACATTTGAAGACCCTTGAAAAGTGCATGGTGTTGCATGGATGGCGATGCAGCAGAGTTGACTGGCCTATTCGGGAAAGGTATGAGACAACGGGATCGAAGCAACCCGACGGCAAGGTAAACGCCACCACCGTCGACGTAAGCACCCGGGTAGTAAGTAGGGAAGAAGAAGTGCGTCTTTTTGCTGTACAGATGAAAGCGGCAAGTGATCTCTCGGGATCCCGGTGGAGTGAGTCTTGAAGAAAAGCCGTCGTCGCAAAGGAGCCAGAAATGCATCGGCGGTGCATCCATCGTTGTTTACCTTGCTGCCTATTCGGGACTAGTGCGGGGCTCTTGCCTCTCGTCTGCCGGCTGGACGACGACGACGACGACTCAGGGCCAATCAGCGCGGCGGCATTATCGCCAGCAAAGACCAGCTGCAGCTCCTTACTGACCGCCATGCAGGCTACCTAGGTACCTAGGTAGGCCAGGCCCGCTAAAACATCGCTCAACTCCGCGTGGCCCGGTGACCTGTGCACTGGTCTCTTCCTACTTCAGCGGCCATCTCCCCCCTCTTTTTGCAGTGCGTAGCCGACTGCCTACTGGAACAAGCACCCCGCCGTGGATAGGTGGGTAGGTACCGAATCGCCACGCCTTTGCTGACTCACGGTGCCATTCACATCTCTATCATGGAGATGGCCAACTCATCTCATCATTGTGATAGCATGACCGTTCATAACCCTAGTTCGAATCCCGCGTCTTACCAACTTTAAATCTCTCCTTCCTTTTCCCTCTAGCCGTTGCTTGTGTGCGTGTGTCAACTCAGTGATGGGAATGAGTAGTGTGTGAACCGTACCCTCTCTCCTCTTTCCCGCACTCTCACTCTCACTCTCATTCTCATTCTCATCCCTGCCACCCATCCCCGCCTCTTCGCCTCAATCTCTCATATGAGAGCGACCATGAGGCACAGTTCGTGGCCCCGCGCCGTCTTGCGTGCCAACGGGCAGCTGTTACGACAACACGGATATGGACCAGGACGCACACCGCGGTCCCAGGCGCAGACGCGGGGTCTGAATGCGGCCGCCGCAGCCCACGAGACGGCCGACCCCGAACGGCAGCAACCTCTCGCCCGCCGCCGTCTCGCCGAGGACGCGAGACCCTTCTCCGACTTCCTCACCGACACCTTCCAGCGCCAGCACGACTACCTCCGCATATCCGTCACGGAACGGTGCAACCTCCGCTGCGTGTACTGCATGCCCGAGGAGGGCGTGCCGCTGTCGCCGCCGAGCGAGCTCCTGACGACGCCCGAGATCGTGCTCCTGTCCTCCGTCTTCGTGTCCCAGGGCGTCAACAAGATCCGCCTGACCGGCGGCGAGCCGACGGTGCGCCGCGACATCGTGCCGCTCATGCAACAGATCGGCGCCCTCCGGCCCCACGGCCTGCGGGAGCTGTGCCTGACGACCAACGGCCTCTCGCTCCACCGCAAGCTTGACAGCATGGTCGAGGCCGGCCTCACGGGCGTCAACCTGAGCCTCGACACCCTGGACCCGCACATGTTCCAGGTCATGACGCGGCGCAACGGCTTCGACGCCGTCAAGAAGAGCATCGACCGCATCCTCGAGCTCAACCGCCGCGGCGCCGGCATCAAGTTCAAGATCAACTGCGTCGTCATGCGCGGCCGCAACGACGCCGAGATCGTGCCCTTTGTCGAGATGACGCGCGACAAGGACGTCGAGGTCCGCTTCATCGAGTACATGCCCTTTGACGGTAACAAGTGGAACAAGGGCAAGATGCTGGGCTACGCCGAGATGCTCGACGTGATCCGCGCCAAGCACCCGACCCTGGCCAAGGTCCAGGACCACAAGAACGACACGAGCAAGACGTGGCACGTGCCCGGGTTCGCCGGCCGCATCGGCTTCATCACGAGCATGACGCACAACTTCTGCGGCACCTGCAACCGCCTGCGCATCACGAGCGACGGCAACCTCAAGGTGTGCCTGTTCGGCAACACCGAGGTGTCGCTCCGCGACATCCTGCGCAAGTCCAACAACGGCGACCCCATCGACGACGCCGCCCTCGAGGCCATGAAGCAGATCGAGATGGACCGCCGCCAGGGGCTGGCCGACTCGGCCAAGCCCCTCGGCCAAGCCCTCAACGAGGCCGAGCTGCTCCAAGTCATCGGCATGGCCGTCAAGCGTAAGAAAGAGAAGCACGCGGGCATCGGGGAGCTGGAGCACATGAAGAATAGGCCCATGATCTTGATAGGTGGGTAAACGGCCCCCTCCCCCCCCCCCCCCCCCCCCTTTTTTTTTTTTTGATTTCGGACACAAAACCCGGGGTAGGCGAATGCTCCAGTTGTACTCGCATGAAAGACAGCTTATTGGATTGCAGGCAGTAGCCTGCCTCTATTCAGGGCGGTGGCTCATCGGGAGGTCGCTGGAGCCATCTTCGACTTCATCATAATGGTGGTATGCTATTCGAGATGATATCTTCCTTTTCGCGTCCAGAGGCATATGAGAATCTCCTGAGGTTAGGACTGCTCCATACTGGACTTTACTCGCAATCGCTACAGCAGTCTGCGCCGCTTGGAGCGCCCGAGCTTTCGTAAACTTTGTTAGTACATAGCGAAGGGCTACGTACCATTCATTAGCACCCGATCCCGCTCAAACTCCTGACAAGTATGTACAGGTTCAAGATATTAGCCGTGATGACGAGCTACCCCCCCCCCCCCCCCCCCTTTTTTTTTTCTTTTGATTTCGCGACACAAAGCCTCGGGGCATTCGCTGCCCTTCTTCATCTTCTTTTTATTGTTGTCCTTCTCGCATTCAGATGGCGTTGGGAAAATACCAAGGGTGGTCGGTCGGCAATGTTTTTGGGGGAGGGTAGGGGTCAGGGGGGATATTGATGTTCCTCAAGATATGAATACATGTAAATGATGGAAGACTGAATACTTGGTCTCTTTAGACTCTCGGCCGTTACAGCCGTCCCGCCCGCCTCGTGCCCCTCGAATGTCGCAACAGTTGCCTCTGAACCCGCCCATCAACCTCCCGGGCCCCCTACCGCGGCGGCGTCCCTCGGGCGTCGCAGGCGTCGTCCCCACCTACCTCCTGCCCCTGCCGCCGGCGGCCTTCCAACACCCCGTCCGCCTCTTCTCCTCGACCCCGAGCCATCGGCGCGGCGACGGCGACGGCAACGAGAAGGACGGGGGCCACGCTCCAGGCGGCCTCCCGGCCCTCACCCACGTCGCGCCGACGACGGGCTCGGCGCGCATGGTCTCCATCGCCTCCAAGACGCCCACGTCCCGCGTCGCCAAGGCCGCGTGCACCGTGACCTTCTCCTCCCCGCTCGCGCTACGGCTCGTCCGCGCCTCGCAGATGAAGAAGGGCGACGTCCTCGGCACGGCGCGGGTCGCGGGCATCATGGCCGCCAAGCGCACGCCCGACCTGATCCCGCTGTGCCACCCGATCCTGCTGTCTCACGTCGCCGTCGAGGTCGAGCCGGCGAGCGCCGCCGAGGGGGAGACGGTGCTCAACGTCGAGGCGACGGTCGAGTGCGAGGGCAAGACCGGCGTCGAGATGGAGGCCATGACGGCCGCCGCCGCCGCGGCGCTGACCGTCTACGACATGTGCAAGGCCGTCGACAAGGGCATGGTCGTCGGCGGCCTGCGCGTCGTGCTGAAGGACGGGGGGAAGAGCGGGCGCTGGCAAATGCCGTGAAACGATGGGCCACGGGAGAAGCCGTGGGTCCCCCCGAAACTCGAAGAAGCTTGGGGCCGCGGGGGGCGTCGATCGATGACTATCGGCCCTGACGAGGTGGTCCGAATGCTGCGATGATGGCTCGCGCGGGGGGTCAAAGATCCCTCGAGGATCAACAGCGTCGGGAGGGGGGTTATAAGACGATCAAAACTGCCCTCAGCCTCGTCGGTAGCTCTCCACGATCGTGTACGAGAGAATAGTCGGACAAAGGGGTAAAGGCCAGCCAATCTGACTTGGATACACAGGAATGGCAAGCATCTCCGCAACAACTCTTACACCCCTAACCCATAGCTACAACGACTGTAGGATGGCCTCGAGGGTCGTGACAGCATTGCTGCAAGTAGGCATTATGGTTTTATCAAGGCGAGGCATCCGCTTCCATGTATTTCAAGATGGCAAATTGCTATGATCTGGGTATGGTTACAACTATGCTACCAATCAATTCTTACAACATGTGCCGTCCTCTCACACCCCTCGCGCTTTTGCATCTACCGGTCCACCGCCCTTTCCGACGTTTCACCTCTTTCTACGCAGACTCGGCCTTGACTTCCTTGTCCACGTTCATCGCAATCCAATCCGCGATCGCCATGTTCGTGACCATCGGATTCACGCCGCTCGCGCTTGGGAAGACACTGGCGTCCGCCACGAACAGATCCTCTGTGCCCCACACGTGCCCCTTGGGCCCAACGACGCCCTCGTCTTCGTTCAGCGCCATCCTGCACGTGCCCATTTGGTGTGCCGACGTGAAGATGCCCACGGGCGGCGCGTTGCCGACCTTGCGCACCTTATCCAACCATGCAACGAAGCGGGGGTCGTTGGCCCCCTGGAGGATTGTCTCGTCTCCATTTTCCGAGCCCGGTGAGCTCGAGGTGGCTGATGCTGTCTTCTCGAGCAGCCCAGCCGAGTCTTCTTCCCTGACGAACGGCTCGAGCCCGGGGATGCCAGCATGGATCTCGATAGCGCCCTCGACGTGACAGATCTTGCACAACGCGATGACACCTTCGAGGGTGTTGGCGCGGTCAAAGTCCGAGATGACATAGTCGATCCGCGGGCGGCCCGAGACCGGGTCAGGATAGACACGGCCCGTGTCGCGGTCACGGGTGAGGGAGATGAAGCTGCCGAGGTGGCGGAAACGGAGCTCCGACAGCTTGGCCTGGAGACCCGAGTGCCATGGCATAGTTGCGAGGACCGCGTAGGGCTGCGTGGTGTTAGCAATGTGGGGTCGGAGTGAGCGAAGAGGGGAGGGGGTCGCACAATCATGCACGTGGGCTCCAGCTTGACGCCGTGGCCGGCCTTGTCGAGATCCTCGAATGAGGAGCAGTAGCTGGTGATGATGCCGCCTGTTGCGTGACGTTAGTGAGGGCACATACACCAACTCGTGATTGGAGACCTACCCTCCCAAGGCTTGCAGTCCTCCTTCCAGAAGCCGCCTACCATGTTGCAGGGATGGACGTGGAGGTTATGGCCGATATGGCGATTCTGCTCACACACGTCAGGTAGCCGAACGCGACTGGGCAACGCCGCAACTTACAGTTAGACCGCTCCTCAGCAGCACCAAAGGACTCGAAACCGATCCCGCGGCCACGATAACCTTCTTCGCCTTGACAATGACCTCCCGCGTGATCCGTTGGTCCAAGGGCGCGCTGGTGCTTCCGTCGGCGCCCCTCGACACCCACTTTCCGACGACGCCCGTCGCGCGCTTGGAGCCGCTCGACTCGTCAAAATTCACCTTGTCGACCTCGAACCCTTCGATAAACTTGGCCCCAGACGCCGCCGCCGCCGGCAGCCAACTCACGGTGGTGCCCTGCTTCTCGGTCGACCCACAACCGAGATGGCATTGTCCGCAATAGTGATCCGCGCCGCCCGTGTTCTGCGGGGCCGTCGCGGCGTGCCACCCGAGCTTCCGGGCCCCGTCCAGCAGCACCTTGTTACGATGGTTGTGACGCACGCCGTCGGTAGTTACGCCCATGAAGTCGCACACCCTGTCCAGACAGTTCTGGAACTGGGGCGACGTGAAGAAGGACAACCCGCGCTGCTCGGACCACTCCTGGCGCACGAAACCCTGCGTTTGGAGGCTGACGCTCCAGTTGATAGTCCCGCCGCCGCCCCAGCAGCTGCCGGCGAGGAGGTTGAGAGAGCCGTCGTCACTGGTGATGATGCCGCCGTTTTCGTACAGAAACTGGCATCCGGTGTCCTGAGCCATGGGTAGCTGTGACGGAGGGTAGTAGTACGACTTGTCGACGATAAGGACTTTGTGGCCTTGCTCGGCCAACACCTTGGCAGCCACCGCACCTCCGCAACCAGACCCGACGATGACGATGTCGGTCTCCACAACGGCCGGCGCGTCGGATGCTTCGAACTGCATAAAGTTGAAGTCGAACCCCTCGCCATGCTTCTGGGATTCGGGCACGTCGCTGTAGTCGGTCAACTCCCTGAACAGAGGGCTGGTCTGCACGGCGCTCTTCTGGGCCAGCAGGCATATCGTCTTGGTCAGGAGCCGGATCGTGGGCATCCGCGAGGTCTGCCACGCTTGGAGGATCTTCTCACGGACCTCCAATGGTTGCAGGTGGACAGGGGTCCAATAGCCAGTCATGAACAACGTGCCAGTGCGAGTGCTGTCAGACCAGGTCAGCCATAACGGGCCGTTAGTGTCGCGGGTAGAAGAAAGATAACTCACGCCAGCGTGCTCATGGCACCAGCCAGCTGGCGCTGGGAGCCTGCGGGTAGTGAGGCCATCGTCCTCTTGATGCAGTCGACGAATCTAGGTTCCTTTGCGGGGCTGTGTGCGAGGTACTCTAGGAACTTTTCCTCCGAGGGCGGATTCTTCATCGTGTTCTGGACAAGCTGGAGCGCTGCCGCATAATCGGCTCCGGACACACGGATCTGGTTTGTGGGGTCTGAATGAGTTGCCGGTAGTGAGATGGACGGTAGGACGGCCTCGAGCAGGGACATTAGAACGGTCCATTGTGTCTCGTTCCATAAGTTGTTAACTGGCAACTCCGGCAGCTGGAGCTGGACCTCGGTGTCGGGAATGGTTTTCGACAGAGCGGCCATGTCGAATCAGACTATGAGTGTCGATGCGATGAAGTGAGTAAATGAAGTTGGAGACGGTGGCACACGAATGGACAATGTCGAGATGGCTGTCAACAAGCGTAAGAAAACAAGGGCCTGATGGAGTTATGCGAGGGTCGGATGAGGGGGAGCTCGGGGTAAGGTATTATGTCAGTTGATACGGGTGAGCAAGAGTGCCTCGGAAGCTCATGCTCGACTGATGTTTCACTAGGTATGTTGCAAAAAGGAAAACAGTCGATGTTGGCTTTGCCCCTTGCCGCCTACATGGTAGTGGTGCTGCTGCAGCTGCAGCTACAGGGGCCGTGTTTGTCATGGATGTGGGGTCCGTGCGAGGAGGCATGATAATAGCTATCATATCATCTCTCTACTCCGTACTTCCTCAGGCATGTCCCCTATTATCCCCGATCCGGTATGCTTTAGAAAGTGACCAAACACTTGGCCGTCCGGCCAGCCTGCAGCGGCTAAACTACGGGATCGACACAATCTGCGTTACCTCTGGTGGTTACGACATCCAGCAGGGAACCGGAGCTGTAAACCCCTTGGACCGGAGTCCGGCAACAAACGTATCGAACCCCAAATATGCAGCTTCGTAACGGCGGGGTGCAGGATTATTGCACGGCATTTGGGCGCATGCGACCTTGATCTATCTAGGCATGGTGTGACTTAATTGGTGTGTATGGACAAAACTTGAGCTTACCTGGCAGATCGATCATGCGGGGAACACGCGTATTGGCAATGGATGGTACGATGTTGACGGAACCCCGTAAATTCCGAGCCAACAAAGGCCACTCCTTCAAAGCTCGGTCGGGTTTCTAGGTGGGTGGTCAGTCCGCTGCATGAGTGAGAGAGACCGAGATGGAATCGATGAGACGCGCGACACGAAGATGCCAGAACGCACGACTCTGAAGTTCGTACATTCCTGTGGCCTGTGTGAGATTTCTCGATTGCGGGGGCAGATTGATGACGCATTTCATCGACTCGGTGGCGGGGAGAATTGAACCTCGGCTCGCATGAAGCCGGCGAAACGGGGAAGACGGCAGTTGTAGTCTCGGACCGCCATGACCATCGACTCGTCTGCCGTAAGCCTACTCAAACGACCAAGTGGCCTTGTCAAGACGTCACGTCCCGTGGAATGCAAGCCGGATGAAAGAAGGGCCCCCGCTAGGCCGTGCGGCGCCCCAAGTCCGGGTTCGTCTTCCAACCGTATGCTGGCCGACCGCCGCCTCGGTCCGTGCCAGACGGCGGCACGGTATCTCCCCGGTCTCCGGATCAGTTGTTAACTTACGGAGCAGACAGCCTTCCGAGCCACTTTCCCGGGCTACCGGCGCCGTGGCCAGCAGCCAAAATAGAGTGTAAGCCCATGCGCCCGCCCGGTCTCGGGCGTAGTTTAGAGAGCCTGGGACTGCCAGCCCCTTGGAACACCGAACTGACAGTCAGTAGTACATAGTACATGGCGAGTGCATGGAGTTGCCGTCAAGTAGCCCCGCCATCTCGGCGAGGGTTAGCGGACAAGCAGGCAGCGCAGGCCAAGAGCACACAGGCGAGGCGACGTGGACGGGATGGCCCAGGTGGCCAAATGCAAGATTGGCTTCTCCTCAGAGCTGCAGCCACGGCTCTGGCTAAGTCAGACGTGGATACTTATTCAGGGTCCAGCGGCGGGTCTGTCCATTCCGCGCCAGGGGGGGCCTGGCAGGCTGGGTGTCATCTTGCGATGGGCGGTCTGGCGGCCAAGAGGGTTCAAAGAGGAAGTTGGGGCCGCGGGTCTGCCTTTGAAGCCGAATTTGTTGGGGAAAGAAGAACGACAACGATGGGAAAAAATTGCACGTGAGAGTCGATCTGCGAAGACTTGTTGGCCGACAGCGAACAGGCACGTAATCCGGCCAGCAGGCAAACTCCTTGCTGGTTGTTCTATTTCCTCTGGCTGCGGAATCGAGGTATGCGGCTTGTGACGTGCGCTGTGTGTGACTATGCATTATATCACGTATTTCCTGTCTAGAATTGGTTGAGAGCTGAGCCTTCTCTGAATGGCCCATTGACAACAGAGCATGGACAGTCTCGCCAGCAGGATCATCATCTCTGTCTGTTCGCGGTCGGGCTGTCCTATTAACTTCGGTCGAGACGGATCGGTACGATAATGAAAGACGGATGACGGCACCCTGATCGAGCATCGTGTAGAGAGGCACATTGAAGCTGCGCGAGGACTGAAGTCCGCGTCCCCCTCGTCGCTCACATGCTTATCGCTGCCGGCTTCTGCCTTCATGATGATTGCTACATAGATAAGAGGGTCCATCTCCGTCAACAAGACCGCACTCATTCTCTTGGAGGGGAAGAGAAAGAAAAAAAAAACTTCGATGCAGGGGCAAAAGGGTTGGTGAAATCGGGCTTAGCGCTCCCCCAACAAAAAGAACGAAGACCGCTTAGCGGGGGTCCCACGGCCGATGGACACTTGATAGTTCGTGGTGTGGACTCGAGGATACTTGATACACATTAGCAGCTGACACCCTGGAACGGTGTTAACAGTATCTCCTGTAAGGTACCACTACCCGATGCATCCCCCCCAGCACATGACGACTCGGAACCAGGGGCAAGGATCGCAGTCTTGGCTTCCAGAAGGACGACGACGACGACGACGACGACGAAGACAACGGGTACCACGGTCCTGGCGAGCGCGGCGGCGCTTCTCCAATTTTTGAGCTGCATTGCGGCGACCTCGCCTCACCTGGCCTACACTACTTGCGAGTGAGGCGCTGGCACGGCCCGGAGGCACCGATGGCAGTTTCGTCAGAGCCGTTATCGACATGGATTTCATGGCCATCTCTTCAAGCTGTCGCATAATGCAGCAAGCAGCGTGGCCGGAGAGCACCGACTGTGTTCAAGCCAGCGAGTGCTACCACGGTGCGGTGTGCCTGGCTGAGGTCGACAAATGGGGTCCCGAAAATAGAGTTGAGAGCCGGTGTCCAAAGCTCCCAATGCGGCGCCTCTGCCGTTGTCGGAAAGACGTGTCTGGGACATTGGGCTGGGCAAACGTCCAGAGGCGCATGCATCCATGTCGCAACTTTTCAACCGTTTCAAACCGTCCCTCTCCTCGTCGATCACGGACTAAAGCTGATGAGCAACAGCCGCGCGAAGACAGTTGATTCAACGTGATGGTTATGCCACTCTTTGGACGCAGAGATGCATCACGGCCTTGTCGGATATTGTCTCGTCAGTCGTATCTCGCCAAAGCCGAATCTGTTGGTTCTCTGCCCCCCCCCCAGATCCCGCCCTCCGCGGGTCGTTACACTTTGTTTGGCGCGCTGCTTGGGCCCCCCCCTCCATTCTGCGGTCCCTACCCTGAGCTGGCATGCCAGGGTAGGTAGTGTAGGCTTAAAGCAGACTGCAAGGGTGTTATCGAGAAGCCGAGGCAAAACGGGGAAGAAAAAAATGAAGAAAAAAAATTCCCAGAATTGATTGCTTTCCGGTCGGGTGTCCAACGATTTGACCGTGGAGCCCGCTCATCCTAGTCGTGGCATTCATTGCCTTAGCATGGACCGTCAATGGTCTGTAGGCAACTCCTTTCGTCCGGTGTCAAGCTTCGAGCGGTTCTTCATGTGTCTCTCAACAATGTTCAAGGAGGAAGTACCCAGCAAGTATTCGTACGGAGGTTCCTCGATCCACCTGCCCCGATCTTTTTCTTTCTCCAGATAGTCGGGCGCTGGCGAGGGAAGCACGGAAAGACGATGTACCTTGGTTGCGTAGCTTGGCGAGACCAGTCGCATCGAACGGGTGGGTGGATGTCTCAGTGGATACAATTCACATTGAGTAGGACCTTCCCGCAGACGGGCGCGTGGCGGGCAAGACGGGCAAGCGCCTCGTAGACGCTTGCGCTTTTAGGAAGGCGAGGTGCGCATGCCCCCTGGTCTTTCCTCACCTTTACGTATTGTGTGTTTGATTCTTGGGGGGGACTCGCTGTGGCGGTTACGATGACAAACACACAAGAGGTGAGGAAGGAGCAGAGCTCCTGCTTCCGTTCATGATTTTCCACACTTGTAGTTCCGAGGTACATGGCATGTACGTGTTTTATACCTACCTACTTTGCATAGCATTGAGAAGCTAGTGCGGAAGGGGAAAACAAAAAAGACAGAAAGATGGGACGAGCAAACAGTCGAGGTGGCTGAACACATGGACTTTAACCTCCCGTTGCGACCTGTTACTCACTGTCCTCCATCATCAGGGCATACGGCTACCCATTGTCCCGTTACTCAACCTACCTAGGTAGGTAAGCATTGCCTTGCCTCTTGATGTGGCCTTTTTGCTGTCTGTCTTGCTTCCCCTCCATCGGTCTCGTCTCGTCTCGCCTCGCTTCCTTCTCATCCGTTCCGTTGCGCCTTGGCCTCAGCATTATTTATGACTAAAGCCCGAGCAAAGACAAACTTCTCCCATGACACTCTCCCCGCCAAATTCCACATCAACCGAACTGGGCCACAAATAACTACAAGGTACATTGTACGTATGCTTGCTTGTGTGTGCCGGGGTGGAGAGGATAAAGGCGAAGGGGAGGAATACCTATAGTATACAATACTTTGGATGGGTACATGGTCATGCTACCCAAGGTAGATATGTAGGGGGGGGGGGGGGGTCTAGGGAAGGGCCTCAGCAGCATTATCCACTCTTGTCCTTTTCCCATCCAGAAATGCAACCCTTCCCTTCCCCATATTAAGACCTCGAGGATCCCCTCGCATTGACCTGGGAGCTTCTTTTGTGTCTTCCTTCTCTAAACCGTTTCCCTCTCCTCTCCTCTTCCTCGACAACTACTTGGTAGAAAGGATCGCACCCTCGAAGCTCGCTTCGCCTCTCTTGCGCCAGCTTTTTTCATCCTCCTGCAGTCTTCCGTCTACCTCACATATCAGTTCTGTGACGGTCAAGCCTAAGTCAGTCTACGACACTAGACACACACACTTCTGTGTCGACCGCTACAGCTGTCGCGTGCCGAGATACCCTTC